TAATTCGAATTTCGAGTGCAAAATGAGAAATCTACATTATAGAATATAGCTAACAGTGATTTTTTAGGATTATTAATAATTTATTTTATATTATAGATAAAATTTTCTAAATTAAATTTTTTAAATTTAAAATATATTTTTGAAAGCAAGTGAAAATAGTATTAGCATAAATATGAGATCTGAAAAAAAATGAAAAATTGACATAACATGCAAAAAGTTGAAAAAATAATTTTTTCTTCATGAAATTTTTATATATATATATTGAACCTAACTTATAATCATCTTAAAATTATGGAACAATGGATTATAAACTTTCAAAAAGTCCGCATTTTGTTTTGTGAATTTTTTTTATGTAGCAGGTATAAAGCCAAATTTACAAGGATCAAAATGAATCACATGAAATACTAAGATAAATATATATTTTTAGAATTTAATTTTTCTACTTATAGAAATATTTTTGAAAGCAAATGAAAATCGCATTAGCATACATATGAGATCTGAAAAAGAATAAAAAAATTCACATAACATGCAAAAAGTTGGAAAAATGATTTTTTCTTCATGAAGTTTATATATCTATATATATTGAAAGTAACTTAAGATTATGGAGCAATGAATTATAAAATTTGAAATAGTCCGCATTTTTTTTGACTTTTTTTTATGCAGCAGTAATAAAGCCATATTTACGAGAAGCAAAACAACTCACCTGAAATAATTACTTTTCTTCTATCTGTTATAAAATAGATGGTGATGTTAAAATTTAGCAAAAAAATTTCGGCTCATGATTTAAATCATTTAAATCTAAAATTTTACAATTCTTAATAAATAAAAAAATTTCTGTACAAGAAATCAATACAAATGTGTGTTATATCAATCATTAGATCAACTTGAAGCAAGATTCAATCATAAAATATTCCAAATGTTTTTTTAATGATCTCACAATCTAATCAATACAAAATTTGATTTGATTGATTATTTTTTATTATCAAATTTTCAATATCTTGAAAGTATTGAAATTAGGCAGTATAAATTTAACTAAATAACCAAAAATATTTAAAAAAGTTTGGTTATGAAAAAAAATTTACGTTAAGATCATCAGTTTATTCTTGCAATAACAAATAAAGTTGCACATAATATAGTTGTGATCCTCAATTGAATATCCATTAATTAAATTTCATATTAATTTATATCATCTAAAAAAATTTGATGACAAAATTTCTTAAATTATTAAATTTTTTATTTTATTACTCATTGAGATAAATTATTTGAATTTAATTTTTTTAAAATTCAATGGAAAGTAATATGCAAAAATTACTTTAGATTATGAAATATTTGTCAATCATTAACACGTTAAATTTGTGGAAAAATAAAATCTTCATTTTACGATATTTAAAAGTTCAAATTTGTTTGAGTGAAACAAATTTGAATGTCGCAAGTTCAAAACAAATACAGGTTACTTGTAGTAGAAGTAATATTTATTAATCAAAACAATGCAAGATTGATTATTCATCTTAGAAGTTTATTCACGATTGAATGAACATGTAAATAATTATAAATTTTTTTCTGATAAATTCTATTATTATTATCACCTTAACATGACAAAATAAGATATATTTTTTTTTCAAAAAAATAATTCTATTTAATTTTGTGAAATTCAAAAAAATAGTAAGTTCAGATTTCAATTTAGACTTAATGAAATGTGACTCGATTCGAATATTATTTAAAATACTCTAGTTAATAGCATTAATTATTAGTTAGTTCTTAAATATTTTTTATGAATAAGTTTATCTTGACATTCAACATATAGTGTATTAAAAACATTAAAAAATTATATTTTATATCTGCATCATAGGTGTTTGGAATATTTTTTCATATATATATGTATAACACATATTTTCAAACAAATTATAAATTATAAATAATTATTTTTTTGCATTTAAATTGTTGTATAACTAAATATTATTAATAAGATCAGAAAATTAAAAAAATATTTTGACTTATTTTTTATTATAAATTCTTACATTTTAAATAACTACTTTGAACACTTTCTCTATAATATAAAATTTGATCGTGAATGGACTCATATTGAAGAGGATATGATTGTATATTTGTAATACAATCGTATAACTTTGCATGTAATATTAAATCTTACAGATGCTTTAATTCAAGAGTAACAATATGAATTCACATCTTTGTCTCCATTCCTCAGGGACTGGAGTAGAGATTTAGAAGTATATAGTCTATCTCGTAAACAAAAAAATTCAATAGACTTGAATATCACTATTAGTTGATCAAGTCATTCTTCTTCGTAACATCAGAGCTAGATAAACAAAGATACATGCGTGTAGCTCTTTCATGCCTTACGGGTTGTGACTCTTATCAATTATTACTCACATGTAACCTTTTTTACAAATTTTCATTTTCATTAGCCTAGCAATTGAAAATGTAACATTTCTTCAAATGACAAGATGACATTTTGGATTATAGAGTACAAGGAATCATCATACATCCCTAATGAAAGTTGTGTTTGCATGTAACGTCGATAACTCACATGAGTCGACGTCAGCTAAACTTGCAACATAGCTAGCCTTGGTTAGCGAGTAATAGACTGGTAACCACGACTCTCGCAACATGGTTTACTTTAACATTACTCATTTACATGGATTTGCATCGAGTTGATGGGCAGGAGCCAACATCTCGAAGACAAGAGTCAAGCTAACAATTCCAGAATCGCTGGCCTGCCTTGTCATACCATTTAGAGTTTGGTTGGCACCATGGACCTATCCAGTACACGTTACTCAAATGGTATTCGCGACCGCAAGATCAGTTTACAAATTTACTTTTCTGAAGCAGGGATGGGTGTTGGACTTGTCCGAAGATTGCCATAATTCTGCTACTGTCAAATTTCTGCCCTTCTATCCTATCTTTGGTTCTAATTTAAGCAAGGTTGCTCAGTTGTAAGAGTTTTAATGGAATCTCTCGGAGATAGAGTTTTAGTTTCGTCTGACATTGTGCGTGAAACTTTCTCATAGTGGAATGTTTGGAAATGTTGGACAATTCTCAACCAAGTTTGCGCCTTCGCTGTATAGTGATGAGCAGAATAATCCAGCGAGTAAGCGCATGCATGGCTACAAATAGTCAACTCATAAATGAAATGTGAGGATCTCTACATTTCATCATGTTTCTCATAAGATCTAACAAGAAGCAGGTTTTTCATCATAGACAGGGAAAATATACTATTAACATATGTACAATTTTCATCATTGTGTGCATGTGAATCATCCACTATTATAAAATATTATAATCTAAAATAACAAAATAAAATAGCTAAAATAACAACTTCCAGTAATAAAAATTCACTTGTAAGCCATGATCATGAATAGTTCATATATGATACCCACATGACCATTCATTTATAAAAAATTTAATAGTATTATGTTGAGCAAAACTTTCTGCACTCTTCAACAGACGACCTGGCTTCAAACCTAATTGATTTCTTTGAACTATTTTAAATGATAGAAGGTATGTTACTATCATGATGTAGTACAATAATGTATGCCGTATTATCTTTGCTTCAAATGCAAGTTTCTTTCTCTATATTTTGAATTCCTAAAGCATGGATTTGTATGAATTATATCCAAAAAAACCTAATGTATTCTAGGAATGTTAGCTGGATGAAAACTTGCACATATGCCGTTTAGTGAATTCTCTTCCGATATTGCTATACTTTTTTGTATATCCTACCTTATCTGCACAATTGTCTCAAAATCTATAAATTTATTACGCATAAATTGATCATCATCAAATAATATAATAATTTCATTATATTAGTTGACCAAGGTTTTTGAGCATTTGATATAAGAAATAGCAGGAAGACAAAGATCTTTGCTTTTTATTTTTCTTAACATCTCTATTACACTTCAAACACTTTCGTAGACATCATGGACTTCCTTAATAAAATCATGAATACAGAATGTTTGAGTTTGTCATAGTATATTGACATGGAATTAAATATGTGTCCAATTCTTATGTAAGAATAAATTTAAAATGAAAATAGGATGCAAAATTTTTCTCATCTTTGGCTTGTGATATCCAAATTGATCTTGTTAAGGATGTAAGTCGAGACTTTTTCAAAAGCTTATGATGAATTTACAAATACTTGTTTCAACATGATGACATGACACCTTATATTCGCTAACATAAACAATGTTATTTTTAATTGCACACTCTCATGTTAATTCTCACAAAGATTCAAAATTGATTTCAATGTAAACAATTTTTATTGATGATCAATATTTTACTTCATCTGAAGCTTCAGTGTCAAAACTTGCTTATGGTATTTTACCTTCATACTTATAAAATTTTGAATACTTGTAACTAAATTTTATTTATTTATTTATTTCTAACTTTCACAGCAAAGTTTCATATAGTATATATTTTAATTTGTTCATTTTGATCTTGTAGCTTTCCAACTTTCCATTTACTTGATTTTTGTATCTACTTTTTAAATATAAGAGTCTCTACCTAGTGAAACCAATCAAAATTTTATTCAAATTAACATAGAATTAAATTTTTTTTACTGATAAAAATCATATAATAACATATTTAATACTATCTATTAAATTCATATATTTTACAATATCCAGTACAGAATTCTAACCAATTTAATATGATCATGAATAAAATAAATTTAATCCTATTTTTTTATCATATTTAATGTGTATAACAATATATTTTATAACGTAATTTATATTCTTAAAATCTTAATTATGAGTTATATTTTGATTTCCCGTGCTGCACCGCACGGGAATATATGCCGCCATTCTCGAAGTGTGGAACTTGGGTCTCTGCTACTCAATAGCTCCGTCGGTCTCGCTCCAGTTTGTTGGAGGCCCTGTACAGCGCAGGCTGCTCAGGACTCTCGGGGCCAGGCGCATGAGGATGTCTGCCGCCACTTCCTCCGGACAAAGCTGTCTGTGGATTCGGTATGTGATCTCGTGTTCAGCCCATTGCTTGTCTGGCAGAGCGGGCCGCCGTTCGATGCTGCTTGCTCGCTTGCTTGCGCACGCCAAATGCGCTTTCCTAGCTCAGTGTGGCGCGCCTGGAACAATGCAACTTGGTGCTCTGTCTCATCCTTCTGAGCTCAGTGTGTCAACGCCGATGTGGACGTGTTTGAATTGCACAGAGTAATTTCTCTGTTCCTCGAATCGCATGTCTCTCTGGCTGCATTGCAGCTGGACAGCTTGGATGAGTTCGAAGTCGAGACGTCTGAACTCTACGATGAGAGATAGTACATTTGAGAAGTGAGGCCTGAGGATGAGGTGGCAATTACCTGAATTCTGCAGCAGCATTTCTTGTAGATGGACGATTGGATGATTTTGTGCTTTTTCTATTCCGCTAGTCCTGATACTCTAAGAAGTGACCTCGACTGGCATCAATTGTTCGATCCAAAGAAGAACTAACTCGCATCTATTAGCCTTTCAAGAATTCAACTTGATATCGCCCTGCGCCTCACGCTCGCTTTTCTTGTTCCACGTGGTGAATTGCAAATGCGTCATAGTGTCCGCCTTTGTATTTCTTGAACTGTACTTTGTACTAATTGACTCTCTACTGATAATTATATCACTCTTACTGGGTTCCGGGTCTTCGACCTGGATGAAGTTCCCTAACGCAATATTTCTACAAGGGCCTCAAGTTACTGGCTAGGAGAGTTACAAAATTTCTCACTTGAGTTACGCTGCGTAATCACGGTCAAGGAGATTTACATCATGATGATTCTTAAGAGCTTCGTCGCATCCTGACGCTGAGCTGATGTACTCTCTATTGACTGAGGGAATAGCTGCGTATTTCTTCACCTAAGTTACTGCCGTCTGTTCAGGATTTGGGGTTGAATATACCAATTGTAGAAGTGTGACGAGGGTCATCTTCGACTCATTTCCAAATTCATGCTTTCTCGATCGTTTCTCCGGATGACTACTCCCACTTCTAACACCTTCAGCAGTGCTGGTAAATGTTCTCTGAACTTCATTTTGTGGCAGTTGTGATGCGTGTCGAAGAATGTAGATTCAAATTTCATTCATGAGATTATAATCGTGTGCAGTTGCGTGTCGTTTCTGTGCAAATTGGAAAGAATTGGATTCTTATCAATAAAGATGTGTGAATTTTTCATGGTGTGTGGTCTCAATGAAAAGCTGAATGTCTCAGTATAATAAATGTGAAATACAAACTGCTATCAAGGAGATATGCCATGACTATTCAACAATATACTGCTTTAAGGAGGTGCAGTAGAAGCTATATCTCTAGTTCAATGTGATTTTTTAATCGAATCTAGCTAGTACGATGAAGCTCGCAGTTTCTCAGTGTAATTTTTATTATTACTAAACTTATAGTAGAACTGATCGAGAGCTTATGCGGAGTGTGCATCATATGTATCGTGAAGACAATATAGACAACAAGAACTAGATATTGTGTTTGGGAACACCTATAAACTGAACTACAACCGAAGTAGCTGTCCTTTACAATGATAAACAGATGTGGCCTCTGACCGTAGGCGTTTAATACTGCTGGTCATTTTGCACACGTAGAGTTGTATTTTACAAGTTGTGAAATACTTGCAACTTCATGTTTTAACTTGTTCGCACCGTTTTCGTCACATGTTTTTGTTTCGGCAGGCGTATGTTATATTTTAATGTATTGTTAAGCTTTTCTTTTCCCCGGTACATCTCCGTAGGGCAGTGATGGTGCTTGGTCGATTTTCAACTCTTGAACTCGGTGAGATCTCGTTTTGGTACTTGTCGCTGATCAGGAGTGAAGACATTTCAACGAAGACGAACAAAAACATCTATAGTTGTCGCCTATGATGACAAAGACATCGTCCAACAGAACGAGGACCATCAAACTGTCAAGCAAGAGGTAGCGAACTGGAAGATTACAGAAGTAAATCATTCTCTTACACGTGTCTCTTGTCAACTTTGATCCCTGTAATGAAGTTCTTTTGCAATTTCCACAGCATTTACCGTCTGCAGCTTCTTTTTTTCACCACCGTGACGTATCAACCGTTTTTCCTTGTTCTAGGAACTGGTGTTCAGCACGGAGAACCTTTTGTGTGAGTATATAAGTTTACGATGGCAATCTTGTTGGGAAGTGGAAGCATTGGTAGCACAGACCCAAAATGTTGTTTGAGTGGTAACGTCGTATACCTTTCAGCAAGACCAGCTCGATGGGAAGAAATTCTAGATGGCATAAAGATCATGAGAGCTGGCCGAGATGCTCCGGTTGACACTATGGGATGCGAAAAAGTCACAGGTCTTCTTGTGCCGAAGGTAAAGACCTAAGTGATGAAGATTCTCCTGACGGTGCCTTTTGTGAATGTGTAGTATTTTTTTAGTTCTAGCTAGCAAGCATGATTTCAAATGGCCTGACCTTTTTCTTATTTCCTTTCTACAGGAGAGAAGATTTGCTGTTTTGGTCAAAGCACTTCTATCGAGTCAAACGAAGGATGAAATAACACACGGTATGATAGGTGGCTAGGATTGCATACGCTGGCACTCGAAATCACATGTGCTGATTGATAAGAACGTAAGTTTTAGCGAAATAGTATTGAGTGTTTCTGGAACCAGGGGTGCAACTGGTTTGAACCCATGAGGAATTAATTCGTAAGCATCCAAAGCCTCTATCCAAGTGTCTTTTTACATAATTGTACTGCCTGCGTACACAGATTCATTGCTTCCTGTTCCATCGTTTCTTATTTGGACTGTGAACTCATTTAAGAAGCAAGACTTAGTGTAGATGGAGATAACCTATTCTAGTTTATTTTTTTCTCCCCACGCCATCATAATTTGATTCTAGCTTTTCATTTAAAATTGTCCGTTAAAGCTCTTTTTCAAGACACGGAAGTGGATTTATAACTATGTACATCCCTTGGTGTCGCTCTTCACCTAGCGAAACTGGATGGTGGTATGCTTTGCAGCGGCAGCAGGACGGATGCAGGAAAGAGGTTTATTATCGATCAAAGGGTTGTGCGAAGCTGAGGAGGCGACTATAAGCGAGGCAATATATCCGGTACTAGTTTTGCCTCCTATGACAGAAGTATGTTAATATTACACTTTCGTCAGTCCTAGCAAGTGGGGCTCTTGTAACTTTCAGGTGAACGACACATTGAAAGTTTTCTCGGTTGAACCGAAATCGCTGTTGTGGTGGAAAATCCCACGACAAGAGACACCTTCATCACTTTCAATTTGTCCACTGTCGTGCTCCTTCTATTACTATCCCCTCTTTTCTCATTCCCTTCCTTCCATCACCTCACAGCCAAGGCGCGGGGTCTATGGTCTTCAGGCTTTGACAGACACGTGTAATGAGTTGTTTTCCTGAGTGTTCATTTTAACATTTTAACATTTTAACTTTTACCTGATCAGAAATTCTAGCAGAACTCTTTACCTAAAGCATGTGAAAACTGTGTCCGTTTATGTTCATTGACCAGTGAGTCAAAAAGTATTACCGGAGTCACATGTAATTGCAAGTAATAACACATATATGGTACGTCAGTAACTCATGTTCTCGCATAATTTAGGCACATGTCCAGTACTTTCACTTGATGGAGAAATCAATTGACCTTCAACTTCATTTGTAGGTTGGATTTTACACCAGAAAGGCTGGGTACTTGAAAAAGGTAGCTTCGATCTGCAATGAGCAGTATGATGGAGACATTCCAAGTACTTTAAAAGAACTACTCGCTTTGCCTGGGATTGGTCCCAAAATGGCCCATCTGGTATGTGGTGATGCATGGTGTTGTCTTCCAACTGTTTGTTGTAGTAAACTGTTGATTACTTATGTAATGTGTAAAGAACTGATTTGTTTATGTAGACCTCATTTTCGATAGCGCTAAATGAACTGGTCTCTGTCACCTGTTTTGCTATGTATCAATAAACAAAATATCAAAACTTCGTACTTTTCGTCACTTACCCCTTTAGTGGCCTTTCCTCTCCAGATTATGAATGTAGGTTGGGCGGATGTCCAGGGTATCTGTGTTGACACTCATGTTCATCGCATATGCAACCGACTGGAGTGGGTTAAACACGCCAAATCTACTCCAAGCCATCGACTGGTATGCGTTGTTCAAAGTACCAATAAGAATGATGGTCTTGCAGCTTATAATTGAGCCACCTCATTGCCTTACGGAAGGTATCGCATGACGTGCAATATATTTGAACATACGCATGCACCGTGAAGTAGTTTGATTTCTTTCAAGCCTGTCTTCTTCTGCTGATCCTGATGCTCTGCATTTATTCTTGGCAGAACACAAATACTCCTGAAGAAACCAGAGCTTCACTAGAACAATGGCTTCCCAAAGATGAATGGAACTCGATCAATCCTCTACTGGTTTGGCCTCTAACTCGTGTCCTGTCTTTTGAGACATAAATCTCCCTCTTGATTTCAATCGAAAGAAGGGATGGATGTCCAGATTTGTATATTTTAATCTCCAGATATGTTTGATCCCACGGATTATCATTAACAGCTCCTTTTGTTCGCAAATGCAGGTGGGCTTTGGCCAAACTGTATGTACCCCTCTAAGACCTCACTGTACGGACTGTCTCATCAACCAGCTTTGCCCCGCTGCTTTTAAGGAGCCTATAAAGAGCCCAAGTAAAAGCCTTGCACCTATGAGAATGAAAGCTCTCATGCCTCCTCCTAGTAAAAAGGACAAGAACAGCCCAAAAAGAACTTACATCACAACAAATGTGGACACACACGCTGTGGAGGAAAGCATAGTCCAAGATACAGCAAGCGGAAAGAGAACACGGATCCAAACATTAAAATTCGATGCCAATTTGTGACTCCTCAGTATCAGGATTTGAAGGTACGTGCAAATGTTGCACTGTCTACGTAAGAGAGGGCGTTTTTCCCCAATTTCGTCGGAGTGCACGCCTAACCCCCCAAATGTTCAGGTCGCCCTTGTCCCTCTCAAATTGTGACAAGGATCTGTTCTTGTATAAAGGTCCGATATTTTTGCCAGGGTCGCCCAGGTGATGATATAGTGTGGAGGGCCGCGAGCTGATGTTTATATGCTCATCACAGAAAACATTGTCAACATCATGGGAAAGAGAGAGTGGTCTGCTTTTCAGGTTTTGCTTCCTTTTCAATTCATCGGCACAGGGTATGACAAGCAAATACTAATGTGTACAGTTTTTTTTATTTGCAAGATCATGCGTCCTCTTGTCACTTAGTTTTAAGATCCTTAAGTTCTTTGCAGCTCTTCAAATATATCTGCAGATTAGCATGTGGTTTATGCATTCGGGTCCTTCAGGCACGAAAGCACTTCAGTCGTCAGAAATGATAATCGATGGTTTGATGCAGAGAGCAGTCGCTCCCCCTAACTTAAGCAGGACGCTAGTTTTCTTTGAGCATCATCCCTGAGACTCTTGTAATCACTGATCTTTCTTTGAAGTTTAAGATTGCCAGAAACTGTTTAGAAGGTGGACTCTTGCAGGCAAAGGTATGAGCTCGTTACGAGACTTGCTTGATGAAAGCAAGGATACATCTGAAGAAGCAGGGTATGAAATATCGGGGAAATTAACGAAGATGTGTAGAGTATGTGAGGTTGGATCTGATTCTATTTTAACTCCCACGTCCAACACATCTACAGTATGTCATCTGGCTTTCATCCGAGGACTGCCTACGATATTTTATTTATCCAATACTACCATTGGAACATCGCAACTCCCACTTTTTTACAAGTATCATTGTTTCATCAATTGAAGCTTACTTGCACACCGTTGGACCCCGTTAACGACTCTCGCATCTCTCTATCACTGCCAGCTTATAAACTTGTGAAGCTGTTGCCTGTAACTTATGCATGTTCACTGACTGTACACAACCCGTGAAGAGCTGTGTAGGCTACGTCATCTGTGACTGGCTACCTACGTCATTATTGCTACCGAGACACTTCAGCTCCATCATGGTTCATCTTGAAGACATACAGTCTTCATCAGAATGACGAGAACAATCGTGAGGTCCCATGTCATTCCGACATCTCGACAGCTTGATTTCCAACCGTATGAAGAGCACACAAAATAGCATTTTCGCATCAGTTCAAGTCAAGCAGCGAATTGTGATCAATCTCACTTTTCTTCAGTCTCGTTTTACCAAAAGCGTATCATCACGGGTGTCCCATGGCCTGGTTTACCGAATGTATCTGAAGAAATCGAGGTCAAGTGACCTGGATTGTTCATACACAGATGTTGAGATTTATTGTAAACCCAGCATCGAGAAATTTAAGTCCTATACTCCAGTCTTTATTTTCTTCTGTATGCTATGGTGGTCAATAGTACTTCAAACGCATGTAATGTCCTCGAAATATCACATAACGGAGGGAGAATCTCAGACACAGTGAGGAGGTTTTAGAGTTGCGGTTATGGCGAGTCCTACTGACTGTGTGTTACAAAAGCAGCTAATTGGGTGATGACCTCTTCACCGCAGGCATGGCCACATGTGATGAAACGCGATGCTGTCATGATCCGTCCACTGCGAGATTTTCCTAGGGTCAATAATGTCTCGGTGCCTCGCCGGGACGAGACTAGCCGTCCTGTCTCGTGTGCAAGTACAGAGATGATGTTTGGTGGTCCAATGCTTGTTTTCGTACTTGATATTATTCAGAAATACCAACACTGCGAGGTTTTACAATGTCATATAACAAGCATGTCCTTCTACCTCGATAGAAACTTGGCCACTGGGAGTCCCTCAACAGTAGCATGATGTGATCTCTGGCAGCTGCATGTTGCTTTGTCTAGACATGGACAAGTTCACACGCTTCCCATTCGCTCACGTGCGTTGGTGGGCACTTATGATGGCCAACCCCATTCTGTTCGTATGCTCATTTTTTCCTCGTCACAAGCGCGTCCTAAAACCTAAAGGCAAGTGGAACTTTGCTTTTGACAGCAAATGTAGATCTCCAAATTGTACATTCGAACAACCGACACTGCAACTAACCATCAGTTTTGACTGGCCCCAGCGATGAGGTCACGCTCCCTCTTGTGCACTCGTCCGAGGAAGTCAAGGAAGAAAATCACATTCAAGTTGAAGGAACCTATTCCGAGGTCAAAATTTCCAGTTGAGAGTTGGGAATGTAAAGAAGAAGAAGAGGAGAGAGAATACTTCTTTCACACAGAGAATTGCACATTCCCCTCTTGGTCAATGAGCTCGAAGTTACGGTGTACACGACAGATTGAGTGCGGGTAGGTGACGAGAGTCAGAGCACACCTTGCATGATAATAGTGTGCAGTGATTCTTGGTGAGCTTTCAGACATAGTTGGTTCCAAATGTGTCCGTTGTTTGTTTGCACGGATTGCAAAGGGTTTGGGTAAATTACCTCTTCATTTTCCTCCGAGTGCTGTGCTTGGTTCCATTTTGGTAGAATTTTGAGCAATACGTACTCCAAAGAGACTCTGGCAAATTGTGCCTAAGAAGAAAGTCAAGTACAGAGGGACCTGAGCTGCTATCATCAATCGACTGAAGCTCAGCAAGAGCTTTCAAATAGGTCGATTCTATCACTGTAGTACGCGACATGGTTCTCGAGACCCTACCACAATTTTCATTTTCACAGAGAAGAATCTCAACGAAAGGAAGAAGAAAAAGTGAAGCTCTGATTAACAAAAGCATCGGACGTGGAGAGAGTATTATAAGCGAGAAATTGCAAATAATACCTTTTCGTAGTCGGACAGCTATTCAGGCGTCGGCGAGGAGGCCCTTTGAGATGCAAAATATCAGAACTCATAATTGCCCAGGCGAAAACAATGAAAAGCACCCATGCAGCAAATGACCATGTCCACTCGCGCGTGATGTCTGATCCAAGGGGTGACATGGTCGCTTGTATACGAATTTTTCTTGACAAAAGTGGCCAACATGACCTGCACCTTTTGCTCGTATTATTGGCCCTCCCCCAGAATTATAGATGTAGAGTTCTAACGCCTACACACCTTTTTGTGTAGGCGTTCAATTACAGATCCGGCTAAATCGAAGATGAACATTCGTTCGTCTTGATCTGAATCATTCGTGGGTTTGATGTTCTCACCTTTAGACCGACGATTCCTCGCGATTATGCAGCGGGCGAGCTCTCACATGTAGGGCCTCAAGAATGGTGGTGGCAAAAGACGCGATGCTACTTGAACCATGGCCTTGGAAAGGCTACGCGCATCGTAAAGATCTGGCCGCAGTCCGAGAATATTTGTCGATGGCAAAAGCCAAGAAAAGAAAGAGGGAGAGCTTCTTTCTCATGAGACCGCGCAGTGCAAATGAAAAGGCTTTCCATGTGCATGCACAACAAAAGAAGCTCGAGGGATCCATTTCGTCTACTCATTCTCCACCGACTTCGCTCTGGGTCCATTCTTATTTTACTCCTTTCAATTCAATTCCATTTCAAGCAGCTTGAGTCCATTGTACGCCTGCAATAAACTGACTGAATCTATTGAGAATGTGGAAATTTCATTTTGACTTGTGTTCATTTGTATTCTGAAAAGAATGGATTTCCTGCGGAAAACAGCAGAAGAATGAAGCTGTTTCAATGATTTGACTTAATTTCGTCTAAGTTGGAATATGAGTCGCCACCATTTCCTGCCTTTGAAAATATATTAGAATCTATGAAACATTGGATTCTGCTCATTCTGACCCTTTGAAGCTAAATACAGAAGAATATTGGGTCTAGCATTCATTGAGTCCAATTTGGATGGACGCTTAGAAGAGAGCAGTGGGAGTCATCCGCAAGTCAATACAATATGCTGATACATAAGGAGTTCGAACAACCTAATCTAGGCCATTTTTTTTAATGCGTTTAACGTATGGTCCCATGGGTTAATCTAAAAATAAATCGTAGACCAAAATTTATAGGTAAATGAGTTTCTAATTTTCTTTTTATTTATTCATTCTGTAAAAAAAAAGATTGGTTTTAAAAAAATGCGCTATAAATACATTCAAATTTCGTTTTTTAGTATTTGGAAAAAGTATTAATTTTATGGTAGATCAACCATATCCATATTTACTATCTCAAACCCACTAAATTCGCCATATACACAGAAAGTGAAAACGATGGACTATTGAAAAAATCGACTTGAGAAACCAATTGCTAAAGTTGGAAAAGAAAAGGCTACGATACTGTTGTAAGTACATGGAGAACACCACCAAACATTTAATCACAAAGGTTCAAACTTGCAGAAAGCATCACTTCTCGCTCTTACCTTAAAACAACATTCACTTGAAGGGTTTTTGTATTCAGTACGAGAAGGGGACCAAGGTACTCGTAGTCGAAATGCATCGGGTTTGTACGTGCGTGTATGATTCTTAGTATTCTGAGGAACAATGCTCGTCAGTTGTTGGGGCGTGAGAATATTCTACCCTTCGAGAAGGAGGCAATTAATTGACGAGCCAGTGGACCTCACACCATAGCCAGTAAGACAGGAGAGTATGAGGCCACTTTAATCATGTAAAGCTGTGACCCCACATGGTAAGCTCAACAAATTGGCCCTGCCATCACTCTTGTCCAGATCCAGCTTCATAATTGCGCCTTGCACATGTCACACACATCCCGCTCTCCCAGAAAGGAAGAGATATGTTTCGTATTTTCCATAATGTTATATGTGCCTTGCTTTTTGCCTCCTGAAAGAATAAATCTTGTGAGCTGATTACACATCGATTGAACTCCTTAGATTTCTGCACGAGCACACTTTTTGGTAAACAAGGACCCCCTACGCCCCAATCCGTGTGCACGGGTATTAGGCATTCAAATCGATTACGTTTATACGCATTTGACTGAAGCTTTTACAATCCGCTCTGGACGAATGATATGAAGGGTTAAACATCTGTAATATGCTCCCCAGGGTTAATCGAAAGATAAACTGTTAATTCACTGCAACCATGACTTTTGACTTCAATAAGTTGTTATGCTAGACCCAGTATTGAAAACGAATTATGCAAATTAATTTTTGTTAAAATATGAATAGTGATACTTTGTACCGTACTAAATAAAACTAAAATTCTATATGATGCTCTGACTGAATAACTCTCTACTTTCATTTGTTATTGACTCCTTCATTTTTTATTACTTAACTTTACAAGAGAATCTCTTCATACATCCCTTACTAATTCTTATTTATAAAGTCAATCATGATACTAAATTTTTGAGTCAAAATTTTTCTAAATATGTAGTATGAATTTATTCTAATTACTCCTCATGATATAGTTAAACTTCTAGATCATCATATGTGACTTGATTAGATTTTTAAGAAACATGAAATGTTCAAAGGGGGATGATTTATTTCACATATATATAAGATATTTTAAATCATTTGAATTGATTTTATTTCATGGTAAGAAATAATCGTAACTTTAGTACTAAATATTACCACAATGAGAAAAAAACGTCGGCTTCGCACAATGCTTGAAGTATATTGACTAGTTATGAAAACATGTGTGCATAACGTAAGCAAGTACTCATCATGATTTTGTGCTGAAGAGTCATAGATTATCAATACGTTTTGAATGTCGATGATTCGAGAGTGCGGATCAAAACTTTTAAAGCTATAATATGTATGTTTGGGATCTTCATAATATTTTTTGGATCATTTAAAGTTTGTTTCATTTTCAGTGTACACACCTTTTTCATAATCGGCATTTAGTTGAATTTGTCCAAGTGACCTTAAACTTTAAATGCTATTCAAAACTCAGGTGCAGGTGAAGAGATATAGAAATCAAGTATTTTCCTTCAATATTTAATCCAACTTTGGATAAGAACTTGCCAACTTTCAAGGCATTAGGAATAATGAGATTTGGCAGGCCAAATTTCAAGGCATCAGGAATAATGAGATTTACCTTTTTCCATTGAACTGCGTAAGAAACTCTTGCACATAAAATTGCGTCACCCTTTTCGGATGAACATAGCTCCACCGAAGCAAATATTATCACCTCCACACAATCTATCACAAAGTTTTAATCCGATTAATGAAATGAAGTAAGTAATATTGAATGCGTATATGCTAAAGAAGCTATTAGCCATGCTGATCTGTCTTATCTTGAACCTGAAGTTGCTTAAAAAATTATACAACTAAAAAGTGTTATCCAAGTTCATCCCGCTGACAAAAAGATTTAAGAGTTGTGGTGAGGGTTTATTTTAATGGAGGATGCGACGTTAACAGATTGTAGCATTATTGCTGTGCAAGATTCCGCAGAGGGTAGTCATCACTCTGCTGAATGTGGGATGAAAGTCAAATAAGACATTATTATGAATCCAGAATACGCTGCGAACCCAAGAACGTTCAGTGTGCCATTGTGGAGAAATGAAACCGACCTGGCCTCAGACACCACACGCAGATTGAAAACCATGGATCCATAATGATCTGCAATTCGTTCGGGAGAGTCTGAGGTTTCCAATTGGACCCAACTTGTACAAACAAGCCAGACATGTGGACCTTCCTTCCCTCGGAAGAGATCTGGCTCTGGCTGCTGCTACTCACGACAAGCCGAGGCCAGTTCATGCCAAACAGAAAAAGGCGAATTTGCTAGTGCTTACCGTCGATGTTTTGTTGGGGGCGGAAAAGCTCATTCTCATGTACCAGCCGTAGTAGGTACCATAGCCCATACGACCACTAAAAAGCTACTCAACTCAACTCACCGCAACTCAACGCAACCGCAGTACAATGCGGAATCGGTGGCCCACTCCGAGAATGATTGATGCGTCCATCTTCATTCTCTCGTCACTTCCCAGCCCAGCACAGCAATGCACTCGATTGGGAATTCGCAGGGGGTCGCTCAAGAAGATCCAACGCGCGCGCGCATGCAACAAGAAGAAACGAGAAGTCCGTAAACAAGAAATCTCCGGGGCCGGCGATGGACTCGAAGGGGGGAAGATGGGAAGATGGGCGGGGCGGCCTCATGCTATCTTCACGTGCCGAGCGACGAGCTAAAATTAAACATCATCAAACGTTCAAAAGAGTGCAACGGGCAGCAAAAGGGGCCCCCCGTCAGTGTCACAGAAAGAAGCCAACCCTACCACGCACCCCTCCCCTCCCCCCGCCCCCCAACCGATTTGGACCTACTCCATCTTCCCCTCAAAAGGTCCCCTCCCCGCGTTACAAGAACATCCGCCATCTCTCCCACGCCGGAGCTCCTCTCTCCGTTCCTATCGCGCGCGCCCCATCATACAAAAGCTAAAAAGCTTCCCGCTCGGGCCACCGTCAGATCCGCATCGGACGCCTCCGAGCGCCGCGACGAAGACCGAACGGACATATAATGGACGCCGTACGCGCGATGTATCACATGATCCATTCGTCCATCGGCATACGCACATGCAGAATCTACGTACGTACGTACTTCCCGGACGACAAACATACATACATACATCGAGAGAAGATGGGAGCATGGGCTGGCTGGCTCAATGGGAACATGTAAAGGGGAGGGCAGGCACTGTATGGATATGCAAGCATGCCGCATACCATGGCAATGGGTGCCAGCAGGGCCGCGCTAGGTTTCCATGACCCACCGCATGTTCCATACGGGGACTTTAATTCCCCGACCCGGGGCTCCTATCGAGTTCCGGTCGGAAAGGTCTCAACTTCTCGAGAAGCTCCCCGGCGACTCGCGAGTCACGCCGGAATGTTCCGGAAACCTACCGGCCCCGGTCGGAAATAATGGTGGAGAATTGGGTGGCTGGCACCAGGACGAGCCTAGGCTCGGAGGGAGGCTCGGACGTCGTAGCGAGAGGCCCTTTGCGTCTGGCCTCTCGAGAGCTCGCCGAGTTTCCTTCCTTCCACTGACAGCGAGCGAGAGCTCGAGGAGAAGGGGCGTCCAATCAATCGCTCCCTTCGCTCTCAGAGCTAGAGCTGCTGCTGCTGTTGATGCCATAGCTCGAGCTCGAGCTCGAGTCCGTGCGTTCCGTGCCGTGGTCCCGTCGCGTCTTGTTGTCTTTCGGTCGTCACATTCATTCGGTCGGACGCTCTCTCTGCCTCTCCCTCTCTCTCTCTCTGCGTGCCACCGTCCACCTTCCCAACGTTTGCGGCCGCGTGCTCCTCCTCTTCTTTCTCGTGTGTTCCATTTGAAGCGAGCGCTCTCGAGAGCAGACGAGGAAAGCGCGACGAGGTGGGGAATGGCGCAGTTTCTCAGTCTTCGGAAGCCGTGAAGAGAAGAGAAGAGGAGTGAAGGATTGAAAGAGAGAGGTAGATAGAGGGAGAGAGATCGAGGAATGAAAGATTGTAGAGAATGAGTAGGGAGGCCGGAGGAGGAGGAGGAGTGGTGGTGGTGGTGGTCGGGGTGAGGAGGAGGTGCGGGAAGAAGGAAGAGGAGGAAGAGAGGTCGCGGGGGACGACATTGATGTGGCACGGAGGCGAGAGATCGCGCGTGAATGAGCCGTGCTAGCGGCCTCGCGGGAAGGTGACCGCAGTGGGCCGAGGGCGAAGGGGCGCAGCGACATCGGACTCACCCAGCACCATCATCATCATGCCCCCAGGCGATCAGAGCGTGAACGAGAATAATGTCGGTATGGCTACCGGGGACGACCAAGAGAAGCAGCGCTCCCCAATGCCGACGCCTACGAAGGCTCCGCGGAACGAGCCGCGGACTCCGCGCTCTACTGTTTCCGGCATTGTGACTCGGCCCAGGTGAACAGCTTCCCCGTGACATTCCCCGCTATCTGGCTTGCTTGTTTGCTCTATCCGATGGTCAGCTCTCGCACGGTTTTAGAACTCGGTCCTCTCCATTTGCATCTTTTCTCTGTGCCCTGTGTGCGATCGCTCGAGCCTCGGGCCCTATATACAGCTCCCACCGCTGTGCAGTTCTCTGCCGGGGTGTGACGTTTGCACGCACGAATCTTTCTCCACTCTCGGCCCTTTCTGCTGCCGGAGGTGTACTCAGTTCCGATCTTTCCACGTCCTGACTCTCTATGTCTTCTGCCACTGACTGAGATTGGGCTCCTGTCCGAATCCGGCGCACAATGTCATCTAGTGCAAGTTTGTCCCACTCGTCCTCCCATGCCTGCTCTATCTGCTGCCCAATTTGTGTAGCCGGTCCTTAAGCTGCAAGCTAGATCCGGTCAGCAGGTCGGGCGCGAAGGCGTGGACTATAAGAAGAAAGCTTCACGTCGCCTGTTTTGCGGATTTGTGTCATGCGATGAGCATTTGGTCCGGCATGAGGTTGACATCCCGTCTCGGTCGAATCTAATTGCAACAATGAAAATGGCACGCAGAGATTGGAACACGCTGGGCGGCATGGAAGATCAGGACGGAGTCTTGGCCAAAGTTGCTCAGTGTATCGAGCAACTTCGAACTGTCATTCTCACTCCTTACGAGAAAGAAATTATCTCGAGGCAACTGTTCGAGCTCGCCGATGGTCGTGAAGACGCCAGAATTGCTGTTGGCTCCCATTCCCAAGCGATTCCGTTGCTGGTGGCGCTGCTTAGATCAGGAACGATCGCAGCCAAAATCAATGCAGCTGCAACTCTAGGAGTGCTCTGCAAAGAAGAAGACTTGCGGGTGAGGGTTCTGCTCGGAGGATGTGTCCCACCCCTCCTGCATTTGCTCAGGTCTGGCTCAGCGGAGGCTCAAACTGCTGCTGCCAAAGCCATTTATGCTGTGTCCCAAGGAGGGGTAAGAGATCATGTCGGCTCCAAGATTTTCTCTACGGAGGGAGTTGTCCCGAACCTATGGCAGCAATTGCAAGCCGGTGAGAAGTTGGATAGGTCGGTCGATGGTCTTCTAACAGGTGCCTTGCGAAATTTGTGCAACAACACGGAAGGATTCTGGCCTGCCACCTTACAGGCCGGTGGGGTTGAGATTCTTGTGAATTCCTTACTAAATGGCAGTCCTACGGCACAGGCGAATGCGTCTTCTCTCCTGGCCAGTATGATGGTGGGCGTGGAGCAGAGCAATGCTAAAGTGCTCAGCGCAGGTGCTATTCAGCCTCTGCTTGACCTTCTTGCCCCAGGGAACGAGATTTCTGTCCGTGCCGAAGCAGCAGGCGCTCTGAAAGCTCTGTCCGCCAAGCTGAAAGACGCGAGACAGGGTATCGTGTCAGCGGGTGGCATTGCATACTTAATCAGTGCCACGGTTGCTCCATCCAAAGAGTTCATGCAGGGGGAGTTTGCGCAGGTGCTGCAGGAAAATGCAATGGGTGCGTTGGCTAACATTTCGGGTGGAATGCCCGCAGTAATTTTGAGCCTTGCAGAGAGCATCGAGTCTGGACGCTCCGAAGCAGAGTCAGCTGACACCATTGGAGCACTTGCTTACGCCCTCATGGTATTCGATGAGAGCTCTGAAGCCTCGGATTTAGTAAATCCAGTTGTAATCGAGCGTGTGCTGGAGAAGCACCTTGATCCTAAGAGGTCACAGCTTGTACAGGAATGTGCTGTAGAAGCTCTTGCTAGTTTGTACGGTAACACTTACCTGGCCAAAGGATTACAACACGCCGAAGGCAAGAAAATGCTGGTGGGATTGGTTACAATGACCAACCATGAGGCTAGAGAGGAACTTATGAGATCTCTCACAAACCTATGCAGCGGTGAGGCTGACTTATGGAACGCACTCCGAGGGCGGGAAGGAGTGCAACTCTTAATATCACTCCTCGGTCTTTCCACTGAACAGCAGCAAGAGTATGCCGCTGCGCTGTTGTCTATTTTGTCCCAGGACATAGATGAAAGTAAATGGGCCATCACTGCGGCCGGCGGTATTCCACCTTTAGTCCAGTTATTGGAGACTGGATCGTCGAAGGCTAAAGAAGACTCGGCGGTTATTCTCGGCAACCTGTGCAGCCACAGTGAAGATATTCGGGCATGCGTCGAAACAGCGGAGGCAGTCCCGGCCCTTCTGTGGTTATTGAAAAATGCAGGAGTAAAGGGCCAAGAGATTGCCGCGAGAGCTTTGACACAACTGGTGCGCAATTCGGATGCTAGCACAATAAGTCAGTTGACAGCTCTCCTTACAGGCGATTTGCCGGAATCGAAGGTTCACGTTCTGCATCTGGTAGGTTGCTTGTTGACTGTTGCATCTCATGAAGACATCTTAGAGGAGGGAAATGCCGCGAGCGAAGCGTTGCAAACCTTGATAGAACTGCTGAGTTCAAACAATGCAGAGACTCAGGAGAATGCAGCAGCTGTACTTGCGGGAATATTTGATGCAAGAAAAGATCTCCGTGAAAGCCCAATTGTTGTGGAGAGTATATCCCCTCTGATAAAGCTTGTTGACCCGCGAACTGAGAAGATTGCCTCGGAGGCAGCTCGGGCTCTTGGTGCCATTTTCCGATCCACTCGGCACAACCGTGAGGCTGGAAACGCATCTAAGGAAGCCATTGCTCCCCTGATCGGTCTAGCCAAGTCTTCAAGTATATCTGTGGCTGAAGTTGCAACCACGGCGTTATCGAACCTTCTTCTGGACCCTGAGCTCGCAGAAGAGGCCCCTGCCGAGGACATAATTTTACCTCTGACAAGAGTTCTCCGCGAGGGAACTCCCAAGGGCAAAGAACATGCTGCCGGAGCCCTAGCAAGGCTACTAAGATCCCGACCTGTTGATGATATACTAGCTGAAAGCATTCATCAGTGCGGCACTGTGCTCGCCTTGGTAGCTCTTCTAGCCGCAACAGAATTGGATGATAGTGCAACATCAGAAGCTCTAGATGCTCTCGCCTCTCTGGCGAGAGCAAAACGTGGGGGTGTTTTCAGTCGGCCACCATGGGCTGTTCTCGCTGAAGTACCTTACAGCATTGGTCCGTTGGTTAATTGCCTAGCAGTCGGAAGACCGAATGTCCAGGAAAAAGCGGTGGAGGTCTTGTCAAGACTATGCCGGGACCAGCCAGTTGTTTTGGGAGATTTGATTGCGGGAACATCAAGGTGCATTGCAGCCTTAGCCGATCGTGTCATCAACTCTTCTAGCCTTGAGGTGAAGGTCGGTGGTGCTGCATTGCTGATCTGTGCAGCTAAAGAGCATCGTCAAACAGCAATGGAAGCCCTCAGCGAAGTTGGTTCATACCACCGGCTCATCCAGTCTCTCGTTGAGATGCTGGGTTTCAAGCCGGCCGAAGAGGATGTTCAGTCTAACGGGGACGGAGAGGAAGATACTGCGAAGGAAACGGGTCCGAAAGAAAACGGAGACGGTGAAGAAGAGTCCTCTCTAGAGCATGACCCTGCAGCAATCCTGGGAGGCACGGTTGCCCTTTGGTTGCTCTGCGTGATTGCATCCCATGATAGCAAGAGCAAGGTCGCTGTTATGGAAGCGGGAGCTATCGATGTACTTACAGAGAAATTGGCAATTTTTGCTCCTAATGCCCGTCAGGTAAGGAGGACATTTACTGCAAGAGTTTGTGTGTTTAAAGAGCGGAGAATGCTCGAGCTGCTTCGGTACCAGTTATCTTTTTTACTTCAATTTTTTGAAGGAAATACTGCTCTCCAGTGAGAGATGTAGATTTGTACTTTGTAACAGTAGTTGTCAGCAAGATGTTCGCGGACAGGTATGGTGATGTATGAATGGTCCTTGTATCTTTAGGAACTTTAAGATAGGAGATATGGGCTACCGTGGATTCAAAAGTATGGAAGAGTAAATTTACGCAATCCCATATCTTGTGAGCATTCTCTGCGCTTCGTGTTAGATCTGAGTGCCATTCCATAATATGAGCTGAGCGGCAGGCATGTCGTGCAATGTCGAGACCTGGCTTGGAACGCCCTCTAGTTATATGTACAAGGAGTCTACATAGGTGTGCTGCTTTGACTTCACGTATCTGATGTGGTTGTGCTGCTTGTGGCCAGGCTATGGTCGAGGATAACGGGAGCACGTGGGTGAGTGCACTGTTGCTGGCAATTCTCTTCCAAGACCGAGATGTAACGCGTGCACCGGCCACGATGCGGGCAATTCCCTCACTTGCGACACTTCTGAAGTCCGAAGAGGCCATCGACAGGTATTTTGCTGCACAGGCTCTTGCTAGCCTTGTCTGCAATGGTAGTCGAGGAACTCTTCTCGCCGTAGCCAACTCTGGTGCAGCTGGTGGGTTGATTCCTCTACTGGGTAGTGTGGAATCGGACATCTCCAACCTAGTGGCCTTATCGGAGGAATTTAATCTTGCTCGCAACCCAGATCAGGTAGCACTGGAGCGACTCTTCCGAGTCGAAGACATTAGGTTCGGTGCAACTGCCAGGAAGGCCATTCCAGCTTTGGTCGATATGCTGAAGCCCAGCTCAGATCGTCCGGGAGCACCACCGCTTGCGCTGGGCTTGTTGACACAGGTAGCGAAGGGTAGTGGGACTAATAAGCTTGCTATGGCAGAAGCCGGTGCTCTGGATGCACTGACGAAGTATTTATCCCTGGGGCCACAGGACTCAATAGAAGAAGCTACCGCGGATCTCTTGAGAATTTTGTTCAGCAGTGCAGAACTGCGCCGACATGAGTCTGCTCTTGGAGCAGTTGAGCAGCTTGTAGCTGTTCTACGAATGGGAACACGTGGGGCCAGGTACAGTGCTGCCAGAGCTCTGGCGGGTTTGTTTGCTGCGGATAACATCAAGGTCGGGGATGCTGCAGGTCAAGCCATTCCTCCTCTGGTGGAGATGCTAAGTAGTGGATCAGAAAAGGAACAGAGGGCAGCTATTGGTGCGTTAACCAAACTGTCCGCAGACAATCCACCAAAGGCCTTGGCCATAGCGGAGGCAGAAGCTAACGCCATCGAAGGCCTTTGCAGAGTTCTACTGTCAGTGAACAGTTCCTTAGAATTGAAAGAGGACACAGCTGAACTCTGTCGGATCTTGTTTGGAAATTCACGGGTGCGGTCCAGCCCAGCGGCTACAAGCTGCATTCAACCACTGGTGGCACTTCTGGGAAGTGATCTAAGTTCAGCACAACAAGCAGGCGCCCGTGCTCTTGATAACCTCTTGGATGACGAACAACAAGCAGAGGCCGTTGCAGCTAATGGTGCCGTTGTTCCTCTTGTTGGACTCTTGGTAGGTTCAAATTTTGTTACTCACGAAGCCGCCGTGAGTGCGCTCATCAAGCTCGCGAAGGATCGTCCCTTGTGCAAACTTGATATGGTGAAAGCTGGCGTGATTGATAATGTGCTGGACATTCTAACCGTTGCTCCAGACTCTCTATGTGGTGTGATTGCGGAGCTCTTGCGAATTTTGACTAACAACAGTAGTATTGCAAAAGGTTCAGCAGCTGCCAAGGTAGTAGAACCTCTGTTCCAGGCTTTGACTCGACCAGAAATGAGCACTGCTGGTCAGCATAGTGCAATGCAGGTTCTTGTAAATATTCTGGAGAAACCTCAGAGATTGGCAAGTCATCAGCTTACTCCTTCCCAAGCAATTGAGCCTCTTGTAATGCTGCTGGAATCCTCAGCACAACCTGTTCAACAGCTTGCAGCTGAGCTACTGTCGTACTTGCTGGCAACGGAGAACTTCCAACGAGATGTTATTACTCAACAAGCAGTCATCCCTCTTATAAAGCTTGTGGGCGTAGGAGTTCCCAGTCTACAAAAGGAAGCTCTGAAGGCATTGGAAAGCGCTTCAAACAGCTGGCCTAATGCCGTATACGACGCAGGTGGTATTACAGAGCTTTCGAAGGTCATATTGCAAGTAGACCCGCAGCCTCCTCATGCAGTTTGGGAGACAGCAGCTCTTGTCTTGTCAAATGTGCTTCGGTTCAGTTCTCCCTATTACCTCAAAGTCCCTATAGCTGTCCTCGTCAAATTGCTGCGCTCTAGTTCTGAGCCTACAGTCGTCGTCGCCCTGAATGCTCTTCTGGTGCTGGAAAGAGATGATGCCTCAAGTTCTGAAGGAATGGCTGAGAATGGTGCAATCGAGGCCCTTTTGGAACTGCTCAGATGCCATCAAAGCGAGGAAGCAGCAGCCCGTTTGTTAGAAGCATTATTCAACAACTTGAAAGTACGAGAAATGAAAGTGGCCAAGCTTGCAATTTCGCCCTTAGCGCAGTATCTCCTTGACCCGGCTACTAGGATGCAGCCGGCTAGGCTGTTGGCTGCCCTTGCTCTTGGAGATTTATTTCAAAATGATGGTCTTTCAAGGTCGACGGACGCTGTTTCAGCATGTCGTGCATTGGTCAGTCTTCTGGAGGATCAGCCAACAGAAGAGATGAAGATGGTGGCAGTGTGCGCTCTGCAGAATCTTGTCTGCAACAGCCGGTCGAATAAACGCGCGGTCGCTGAAGCAGGTGGAATCCAGGTTGTACAAGAAATGCTCGCATCCAGCAATACAGATACCGCAGCGCAAGCTGCGACTCTGATCAAACTTCTTTTCTCTAATCACACTATTCAAGAGTATGCGTCTGGTGATGTCATCCGAGCATTATCAGGTGAGTTCAGCTTGGGAAACTGGAATTGGAGATGCCTAGACTTTCGATCCTAAGCTTGTTTAGCCCTTGCAAGGTTTCTTGGTTCTATTATAATTATGATTGATGGGCGATTGACACAGAAGTAAAGCTGACGCCTCACTTGTCTTTCGACAGCTGCCATAGAGAAGGACCTCTGGGCCACTGCGTCTGTGAACGAGGATTCTGTCAGGGCTATAAATGTTTTATTCGCCAATTTTCCAAGGCTGCGAGGAACAGAAGCTGCGACTGCATGCATACCACAGTTGGTTGGAGCGTTGAAGACCGGTACGGAAGGAACTCAAGAAGCAGCGCTAGATTGTTTATTCCTCTTGCGACAAGCGTGGGCTTCTGTTCCAGCAGAAGTCGGAAACGCGCAGGCCGTAGCCGCTGCTGAAGCAATCCCCGTGCTACAATACTTGCTCAAATCCGGAGCGACAAGATTTCATGAGAGAGCAGACATCCTTTTGCAGTGTCTGCCAGGTAGCTTAGTGGTGACTATAAAGCGCGGTAACAATCTCAAGCAGTCCATGGGCAGCACCAACGCTTTCTGCAAGTTGACTCTTGGCAACGGTCCTCCTCGGCAAACCAAGGTCCAATCCCCTTGCCTTACTCAAGTCGGGCGTGCGTTCAACTGCCTCACTCTATAGGAGTCTTCCTTTTTAAAATTGGATACGTTGGTATTCGCAAGATTGAGTTCGTAGTATCAGTGAAAGTCCAGTAGAGGTAAACAAATACGCTCATACTCGTTTGACTTGGTATGCACGATCAGGTTGTTTCACATACAACTTCTCCAGAGTGGAAGCAAGGATTCGCATGGGCTTTTGATACTCCTCCGAAGGGGCAGAAGTTGCATATATCTTGCAAAAGCAAGGGTGCTTTCGGAAAGGTATGGTTACTTGGGAACAAGGAAGTCTGTTTTTCTTGGTGTTGTAATTACCATCTTATGTTGTTTGGTTGTACCACTTGGTTGAGATCTAATATGTGCTTCTCACCTTCTGATGGGGACAGGGATCGCTGGGTAAGGTCACCATTCCAATCGACAAAGTGGTGATGTTAGGAACTATATGTAAGCCGTATACCCTTCAGCCTGAGACAAATCGAGATGGAACAGCCCGAAGTCTAGAAATCGAGTTTCAGTGGTCAAACAGGTGATCATTGAGATACATATATATATTGATTACCAGTTGGGCAACCCCTTAGATTTTGTACGATTCTTTAGTTAGAATGATTATTTGGTTTCCCTTTTCAGAAGCATTTGTCAATAATTATGCCATTTCTTTGAGGTACTGAATGTACATGGCTAATATAGTCACAACTGGCATTGGGAACGTTGTACAAACCCAATTTTGTCTTGTGGCTTGGAGTTGTAATATTGATGTAAATGATCGCGAAGCTGTGACGTAATACGAGATCTTTCAGCTATGTGTCCACTGGACCTGCCTCGGCTCGACCCTTGTTGCACCTTTTCTTGCTTGTGGCCACACTGTCTTGTCAAACTTGGTACCAAAGCTTGTTGGCCTTTTCATCGTGCCAGTGTGGATATCAATGCCTTCATTATCGAGTTTGGCCGAATTTCTGAATCTATTTCACCAATGCCGTCCATGACATTCAACTCGCATGATGTTGCAACACGTGCTGTGGTCTCTAATCTGGTTCGAAAGCTGTTACGTGTTTGGCCTCTATATCGAGTCTGTGGATGTCTTCAGTCTTATTGAGGTCCCAAATCTTTGTGAGTTATCAATGCCGCCCATGATATTCAACTCATCTGATGTCTCAACAAGTGAGTCACAATTTACCGAGATCGTCATAGTACTAATACATAGTATTGTGTCCTGAGTAACTAAGAACTGAACATTTGGTACTTCTCCGTCATTTTTAAGGATGTAAAATCATGTCAGGAACCTAAACTCGACGTCTACGTGCCAGTCTTATATTTCGTCCAACAGTAACTGCATCAGAACTGGGATATCTGGTTAGACCTTTTTCGCATGACTTGTGACAAGTGGTGGCCAAAGGAGACATACTACTTGCTAAATGTTCTAAAATCACTTGTTCTAGCATAGTTGAACAGTTATATCTTGAAAATCGTTTACTCATTTGAGGAGGCACGACTAAATATGAAGAAGGGTAAGAAAAGGAGTGAGAGGAAACGCTATCAAGCGACACAAAACGAAACTTAACTTGGTGTTAGCTCAATGATGAAATATATTGTAGAGGATATAATGTAACCAAACGTATGAATTGTGAGCATGAGTTGCTTATAACTTGCGTTGAGTTATAACTAACGGCCGATTTGCAACTATTAAAGCAACGAATTTTACTTAGTTTTGGATTCATCCATTTTTTTTAGTAGTTCTGAGATTTCTCAAAGAATTAATTCTTAAAAAGTAGGCGAAGATCACGTCTACTTTATTCAATTTGGTTGAACATCGAATTATTAAAAATTTAATTTCACAATGTAAATAAATATTAGGAAATAATAATTTGGATAACAAAAAGTAAGGGAAGAGCAGATTTTCTTCATTCAAATTGTTTTAACATATGTTGCTTTTGTTTCTACGATATCTATAATATTTTTGAAGGGATGAATAATATAACTAATATGATGGGAAGATTTGATCAAGTTCCACAAGGAATAAATGGTAAATTCTCTTTCAGTACACCATGGAGATACAAATAATAAGAGCATTTGAACAATCATCAGATCCCGTGATTGATATTTTAGTGTAACACTAGATTTTGCTATTTGTATGGCAATGCACACATTTCTATAATCGACTGCAAAAGTTGCACCCTAGTGACATACTTTGATAAGCGGATGTCTCAAATAATCCCAATGTTAGAGAAAAATTTTCATACTTCCAGACGCGAATTGCTGCGTGATATCTTGTAGCAATCCATTTTTTCATATTTCTGAATATATCAAAGTTCATATTCCCCTGGACGATCCAACTCATTGTTTATTCATCCAGTGTCCTTTGACTGAAGGACACATCGGACTCAAATGCTGGAGCGACAACTGGCAAGAGTGGCAGCTGCCCGTCCTACATGGCAGCCATGTAGCATGACAGGTGTCATCCAGAAGCGATCCTTTATATGTCCGTATCCTGTTCTGCAGCCTCGCCTTCATCGATAGAGAAAACAATTCTTGGGCTTGAGTGCGGACGAAGCATTTGCGAATGCAATTTTTCCCTGGTCTTAATTTTGTACCCCACAATATCGACGAGATTGAAATCAAGCTGCCAGTCGACATCCGAAAGCTGCCAGCTTTCGGATCCGAGCCGTGTTCTCCCCGTGGAGACCTGGAATTGCAATCGTAGGTTGCAGAGCGATGAAGCAGGTGCAGAGGAGAACGCTGGATCGCTTTTCGTCAAGCACTTTGAATTCATGGATATCAGAGAGATAGAGAGAGTGTCACTTGTTTCTGTGAAGAATTTCTGCAATGATATGTCACGGAAGATCAGAAGACACGAGGTTCCGATAAGAGGTATTTCATTCTTCGTAGCTACGCAGTCTCGCTTCTACTATTTTTGTCACCCGTTCAGAAACGCGCTGGTTCAGCTCGCGATTGCGCAGCCGATCCCTTTCTTGTTCTTTTCTTGTCATGTTTAGGTGTACGTGCCATTTTATACTCAAGTGATGAGTAATTGAATTTGTAGCTTGCTTAATATTTCAGCTCAAATTTCAGTCGGTGAAGGTTTGCTGTCGTTAATCGGATGAATGGTCCCTCGTGTGTTGCTTTCTTCTAGGGTATCATTTGTAGGGTTGCACTAAAGTATCCTTTGCCCCCAACTGAAGTATCTGTAATTGCATTAGTGATCATGCCTTTCAGCATATAGCAAATCGGATGTGAATGAAACTCTTCAACTTGGGGATGCTTGATGAATGAAGCTGCTAGTTCTTGTTGATTTTTTTCTCCGTACTTTCTTCGTCTTCTTCTTTCGATGAAAAAACCAGAATTGACCAAAATCTGTTTTTTTAATGATCCCTCATAGCCATCTGAGTTGGATGTATCAGAAATTTTCTTAGAGCTGGCGTACAGACATTGATTGGATGACGTGCTCTCACACCCTTGTTTTCATGACAGGAACGGAGGCAGCTAAAAGCATAGTCTGCATTTTGTAGACGAATTTTCCAAGCGGATCACTGCTGATATAGCTACATGCTTCTTTCAGCACCTTGAATTGCTGGAATCTATTACTGCTCAGCATAGTTGAGCTGGAGTTTAAGAAAGGCAAGTATGATACTTAGTAGAGCAGAGATAAGGCTGAGGAGATTGCTGGCTGCGGTTCCACAGCAGACGAACAAACACAAGCAGGTACATTACGTCACCACATTGAAGGAGCTTCTGGCCACTTTGAAGAAAGAAGCTGCACAATCGAGCCATTCCACTCTCATTGAAGCTAAAGCAGAAGTCTATTCTAGGTACATTGAAGAAATGAGTCACAAACTTGATGCCTCCAGGATGGAGGATGTTTGGGATTCCCTGGGCTCCGAGAGAGGTCCTGAAGGAAGTGATCAGTGTTCAACCTCTAGTTGTGTGAAGGAGCTGGCTCATGTGCCATCAACTTCAGATCTGCCATTATTTCCATCATGCCTAAAGAGGAAACATTCACCTGATCCTCAGCTACTCTTGAGTGGCGAGGTCGAAGAATCAAACCTTGCAGACACCTTTGAGGCTGACATTGCAATGAAAAAGGTTCGTGTAGATTTTAACGAATACGAGGCTAAAAGTTCAGAGGAGCCTATGCACCTGGAGCAGGAGGTCCAGAGTGTAGAAAAGTCAAGACAGGAAGTCAGTAGAATCGATGCAGCTGAAGTTTCATATGAGCCTCAATCTCTGGAGTTGGAGGCTGAAAATGCACTAAAGGCACGACAGGAAGAGGGTACAGATAAAGTTGTTACCGAAACGTCGGCAATTGTTAGAAAGCTGGAGTGCGAGATTCCAGATGTAGTAGAGTGGAGTTACACAGGGAGTAGAGAAGAAGAGGTTGAGCGTTTAGACAGTGATTCTCGTTTGTACATTAGTAAACACCAAATAGAACAGGAAAAGTTAGTCAGTGAAATGCTACTTCTGACGGAGCATATCAAGGAGAGCAGTCTCCTGCTAGGCAGTAGTTTACATGTTACCGAGGAATTATTGGATTCGTCAGAGATGACTATCAGGCACTGCCTCTCAGCCACGACATCAGCAAACATGAAAATTGGGGAGCTTTTTACCCGCTCTCAGACACGAGATTGCGGATGCGTCACCTGGGTGAGTTTGTTCCTCATGTACTTGACATTTCTGACTATGGTCGTCATTATTCGTCTCACTTGAATCGGACACTCGACACAATGAGCTGATGTTTGTTTTGGAGGCAGTACCCTTTGCCGCCCCTTGATCTGGATTTGTTCCCGGGATGAAATCTCAACTGAAATCCTTCTGGTGTTATAGCCTCTTGTTCGCTTGTGCCGATTGTCTTCTCTCAGCTCAAGGTCGATCTGCATTGAGCATCTGTCAACTCCGTTTCCCGTACATCTTGTGAGGTCTTATTGAACGGTACTTATGTTAAACTGCTTCTCCTACAGCTGCAGTTTGACCTCTTCTGCACTTTGCAGTTTTTGCCACGCTAAAGTTTACGTAAGAATCTAGAATTTCTTCGCTTCTGTCAAGGTCACATGCTCGATAAAGATGAAACTACGGAGGACTGAATCACCTCGGTGGAGTTCACTGGAGTGGCTTGTTGCATTCACTCAGAGCTTTTAGTTTTTTACATATAATGGTGTGAAGGAAACAGCCTGTCAAGTTTAGTTTTATTTGTAACTGACCATGACATTAAAATTTGAGTAATCAGCCTTTTAACGAAGCAAATTCTGAGCCGAGAATGTTTCCTATTATCAGACGTAAGAAAATTCCGAATCACCACTCTCGCGGCCGAAGGAACTGAAGCTCGCGCAAGGTGTGCGATCCAACTTGCCAACCCGTGTGCCACCAGATACACACACGGAAGGTTTCGAGAAAGAAGGATACTAGACGAGCTAGAAGTGCAGAATTGAAAGGAAAAGGAGAAACAGGAAGATGCTTTTCGCTTGATCCGTGGACCACTTTATTGACAAATTGTCATGGATCTAACCCAGCACGAGTGGAGACACTCACTGCTTCATCCTCACACATTACAGTTGTCTCTCGAGAAGTGCAAGGCCCCAGAAGTAGTACTAACAAGGGAACTGGAAAGCCTTGCACATATCCACAACTTCGAAAAGCTTAAAAGCGCAAGCTCTTATGCATAGTTTTCCATGTCACGCTCAATCTATAACTTAATGTCCCACTTTTTCACGCCGTCAGGTTGCAAATGCTGAAACTGAAACATCTCCTGGAAGATGATTAGATACTTGTGCTATAAGGGCCCAGGTGACAGAGGAAAGTCAATCAATGCAACCCTGGTAGTCAAATAGAGAAAAACACTTTTTCAGTGGTGGATGTAGATCATCTCTAAACCGGGAGACATGACAGCTACCATGCCACAGATTATCCTTACCGTGCACAGGATGACAGACCACAGTGCCTCCCGAGGTGTCGACAACCTGACAATTCGAGATCAGAAACTTACTAGTGTTATCAAACTGAGTTGGATCCAAAAGCTTAATTCATGGACGAATGGGCTATTCAAAGATGTCTTGTCCTCGACGATGGCTTTGGACTTATTGGTCGTGCATTGAGAGCGAGAAAGAGAGAGAGAGGCATGCCATCGAATTAGGCGGTGTTTGGAGCACCAGATCCCGGGCCCTCCAAAGTAGAAGGGCTCTTAAACCCTCTTAAACCCTAGACCCCGACACAACGAGAAGAGCAGCAGCAGCAGCAGCTGTCGGAGCTCTGTACTCGTCGCAGCAGCAGCACGAGCGATCGACCGGATCTCGAGCAAGTCCGAGGTTGGAATTGGGATTGGAATTCTGCAAGGAGGAGGAATGCCGGGTCGATGCTGAGGCGGTTGTGCAGGAGGAAGGACGATGACGGGAGGATGTGGGGTTTTGCGAAGGCTGGTGAATAGATTTTACGCAGATCCCATCGGTAGCTTCGATCGGGGCGTGAAGTTGTGGGTGGGACAACAGGACGCAATTGCCAGGACTGGAATTCGGTATCACGAGAGCCTAGCCGCCGTAGCCAGCCCTTCCTGCGCACATTCCTTTCTCCTGCATCGAGGATTTGCATCCGACGATGGCGGTGGCGGGAAGAAGAAGAAGAAGAAAACTCCTCTTCAGGTTAGTAACTCTGACATTCGGATCGCAAGGGCAGTGTTGACATTGTGCCCAATGTTGTCCTCTGATGGATGATTCGATTTCCTAACCTGTGAATTTCAAAGGGGTCTCTTTCTTGAAGAGTATGGTGAGGGACATACATTCCCGAATTTCCCTCGACACGAGGATAGATTCTTGTTGTACTCGTAGCAATCGGTTGATTGAATTGGATTGAGTCGGCTGAATGCGGTTTGAGTCGCGGAGCTCGTCGGATTTCGCCCGTGGGTTGGAAATTTCATGTATGAAGGCGCTTGATCATCCAGGTCAGGGCTTGTGGGATTGGCAAGACTAAACAGTCCTGATGGGAGCAGGAGCGGAAGATGATCGACAAGTTTCGAGTCCATGTCCGGGGTGGAGACGGGGGAGCAGGTTGCACCAGTTTCCGCAAGAGTCGACAAGCTCGCTACGGTGCCGCCGATGGTAATAAACTTGTCCATATTTTTCGCCCCCACTTCTCTTATTCATTAATCATTGCCATCACTCATGGCTCCCGTCATTTGGATGGTAGGCTTTGTTATGGAATTGCATAATTTCCGAGGTTTGCAATCCGCTGAGCTTGGAGTAACCTAGCAACTCCTTTTCCTTCCAGGGGGCAATGGAGGAAGAGGCGGGGATGTGATTCTCGTCAGTTCAGCTGCTGTTTGGGATTTCAGCAACCTCCAGCACCATATGGTATCAATATTTCTTGTCCACTGCAATTGATGCCCTTCCCAAATCTCGAGCTAGATTGTTGTTCAGAGTCGAGGCTCAGCTCGATTATTTTCCAATCTACATTTTGAGATGTGCCATCTTGCAGAATGGAGGAAGAGGCGGGCCTGGAAGCTCCAAGAAAAAAGTCGGAAGTCGTGGAGCCGATAAGGTGAGCATCGTGATTGCGAGTGTTTCTTAGAGTCAATTTGAAGGCGCTTGCAATGTCCTCTGTTAATTTTAGGACCTGATTGATCACAAACTTGAATTGCCTTTTAGGGCCAATCTCAAGGATTCGAGTCGAGGTTGACCCATTCTGCGATTGTACTCTGTAGGTGGTGCAGGTGCCCGTGGGCACCGTGGTTCATCTGCTGAGGGGCTCGATCCCCTCTCTCGAGCAGCATGCTGCAGAAGAACCGGCTTGGGATGAGTGGGAATCGGGAACCATCTCAGCTGGACAGAAGCATACTGCCGTCTTCGACCCGACTCCTCATGCCAGGTCCGACACCATCATCGCAAGAGATGAAGACGAAGATGAAGTCAGCTCAATCGAAGACGAGGATACTGAACCTGTTCCAGCTCAATCCAAATCTGCTGACTCCAACGAGACGGGCATGGCAGACGAGGATTTGGTCGACAGCGATCTGGAGGAGGAGGAGGAGGAGGAGGAGGAAGACAGCGACGAGGATGAAAGGGGGCCCATGTACATTCAGAGCTCGATTGCAGAGTTTGTCGGGGTCGGAGAGAGCTTGGCCCTGGCCTTCGGAGGCGAGGGAGGCAAAGGAAACGCGAGCATTGCACGAGGAAGGGGAGCAGAGAAAGCTCTGCCGAGTCTGTCACACGAGCAGGGGAAGCCGGGGTCCGAGGCAGATCTGATTCTCGAGCTGAAGAGCATCGCCGATGTGGGGCTCGTGGGAGCACCGAATGCCGGGAAGAGCACCCTCTTGGGCTCCATGTCGAGGGCCAAACCTGTGACAGGGCACTACAAGTTCACCACCTTGAGGCCGAACATCGGCAAGCTGCAGTTCGAGGATCGCTACTCGTTCACGGTGGCAGACATTCCAGGGCTGATAGAAGGAGCTCACGAGAACAGGGGACTGGGCCATAACTTTCTCAGGCACATCGAACGCACCAAGGTGCTGGCTTATGTGGTGGACTTGTCAGCTGGGATTGGGGAAAATCCCGGACCTTTACCATGGGACCAGATTCAGGAGCTCGAATTCGAGCTGGAGCAATATCAGGAAGGGCTATCAAAGCGTCCGTCCCTGATCGTGGCAAATAAAATCGATGAAGAGGGCGCCCAAGAGGCTCTAGAAGAGCTGAAGAGAAGGTTGCCAGAGCGGGAGGTTTATGCTGTCTGCGCTGTCTTAGAGGAGGGTGTGGATGCATTGAAGAAGGCCTTGCGTGCTCTCGTAGAAAAGTCCGAGCCGGAAGCGCCCTCATTGTCAGACATCAGAGAATTGTAGTGGAACCATTTTTCAGGTTTACTGTAAAGAGTGTGGACGGGATCAGGTTCAACGATCTGAGTTCCTCGTGTGTTGTTCTAACGCAGTTATCTGCCTCGGCTGATTTTGTTATGGACATTTAGAAGAGTGGCATGAAAATTTCAACCTCTGGGCTCCGCTTACAGAATTGCATCGTTCACGAAACTGTCTCCATTCACCAGGTGTTGCATAAATTCATCGAGTGCCAAGGAGGAAAGCAATTCATCAGGTGTTAAAAAAAGCGCTTTGCAGATAGTTAGAAACAATTGGACGATTCTAATGGAGCTTGGCATGCAGGAAAGCAGCGAAGTAAGCTGGAGCTCGAGCTGGTTGGAATCGATCTCCCCATGACAATTTTCTAAGTCCAGCATTCCACCAAAAAAACTCCAGACGAAAAAAATGAGCACTAATTGTCCTCTGTCTGATCAGATAATTCTCTGGGTCCACTACCTTCTGGACTTTGCATTCCCTTCAGAGATCTACTTCACTTTACTCGACCTCGGATCAACTGAATTTCATTTGTTCAGTGCTCGAAGAACCTCACTCTCTGCGTAGAGTTCCCACCATGGTGGGTCATGCCGATCCGCATAGCACGACCGACAAATGTCAGTGGCCCTGGGGATTGTCGTTACCCCTCGGACAATAACGATGGAATCGCTCACTGCCGGAAGTGTTCAGCCCACCGTACATCCGTGAGAAGACAGTGCGAACCGGCTGGCGAGGGTGATTATCCGGTGGTTTATCCGAACTCGACATGAGGGGAGCGAAGAACCACCGGTACGTGGTGCAGGCGGCAAATGGCAGAGGACAGTTGACGGGTCCGCCTAATGCGGACCAACCGTCGAAGTCCATGTCCACGTCACGTCCACGTCATGTCCGTGTCCAGCGAACGCTTCGTGGATTTTGTCTAGCGTCAGCGCGGTGGCCCCGTCCAACTCATCACACTCCGTCGACGAGGACGCGGACGAGGCCCCACCTCAGCAGAGATTCCTGCTCCTCGTCAGGCAGGGCCCCATCGAGGCCCCCGTCCCATCGCCAGGAATTCTTCTTCGGAGCTCTCGATCGATCGATCGATCGCTTTCTTGATCGATCGAAAGCTCGGGGGCGCGATCGAGAATTGCGTGATTTATGGAAGAAATGTTCGGGGCGAGATGACGCACGAGTCGCGCAGGGCGGACGATGCGAGAGGAGGGAGCGCGATGAGCGTGGGGGACCTTCTCCGCATGCTGGAAGCGGCGGTGGAGAAAGAGGTGAGATCAGGTGTCGGACTCGATTCGGACGTCCCGTTCTTTGTCAGTCGTTTGTAACCCTCACGGAATGCCCGCGCACCTGGTACGATTTTTTTGAGGGTTATGGAGATGTTTTTGTTGGTGGGTAAGTCGAATCTTGGGCGTGCGACGAGAAGAGCGACAATATCTAAGAGCTGGTTGTTTATTAGCTTGATTCCGTACCGTCAGTCGACTCCTATTCGTCGATCCCTTTTCGTCGATCGGGCACGAAGAGAGTTCGTATCTAACGTCCGAAGTTGGTGGTTGATGTCACGTTTCACGATGAAAGATGTGTGTCAAATTTTAGGTCAAGCTTGCCTCGACTATGCGTGGCCTGGTCGAAATGCATCCTAGTCCAGGTTTTTGATCCGAAATGCTTTTGAAAGACACCTTGATCTGCCAAGAAGAATGTAGCTCGGAAGATGGAATTGTGCAAGTTCACCTCGTTTCAAAGTTGCATCAACAAGCTCGTTGTTCCTTGAGAAAACAGAGAGAATTGACGAAAAAATCTGGTCGTATACTCCGGATAGACAAAATGCGCCGAGAGTAATTCATATTCATTTTAATGTAAAATTGATACCTGGACTGAAATTGCACGTCTGGATACCAAATGCGATTTTGATCGGCGTAGATTTCACTGAGAATGGCGAGTGCCATGTGCCTACGAATGGTCGAGACGCAAAACTGACGAGGGTTCCAACTTGCATCTTTGCATTCCTTAGTTTTTAGGGATGAAGAAGACTTGTGAAGGCTTGGGAGGCAATTCAGATTGTATGCAACATTCGAAGGGCGACGAAGTGACAAGTAGTTCATCAGATGGAACTCCGAATTCCATGCATTCTGCAACTGGAAGCATATTCTCACGAAGTAGTGACGCTAAGGAAAAAGTATCGTCTTCTAACCCTTTTGGATTCAACAAGCCAGACCGAGTCGTTTTTCTAACTCCTCACAACTTCACGGTAACATCTATATGAAGCTATCAGCTGAGATAATGTGATAACGAACATCATGGGGGATGTCAGAGACCTTTCGTTTCCGATGCAATGAATCCGGAATCAATAATCTTTTGCAAGTAATTCGACTCTTGACCACTTCTGAGGCATCAAGGTGTATGAAAAGGAAATTTTCCAAAATCTAGTGTGTGACATTCGAGCTGTTGTTACTGCCGTGGGTACGAAGAACTCGACGATCGTGGAGACCTCTACGAAGGACGAATTGCATTGCAGTTCTGTTGAAAGAGAAGAAGCGGGTTGGACAAGGCGCCACGAAGCTTTCCATGCTAAGATTGGAAGCAAGTTGGAAGCGACGTTATTGGGGCAGCGAGCGGAAGGGCGAGTAGAGGTGATTGAAGGCAGAGAAGTTCAGGGTTTTAGGATCGATACTGGTGTGGATAGCAGGAAACTGACATCAGATCGTTCTGGTGATGTGAAAAGGAATTGCCACAGTACACCAGAAGAGATACTAGGGAATTTCGAAAGCATGATTCAGGAGATTATGGTGTCAGGCCTTCCGAGTCAAGCAGCAAGTGGAGAGTTTTTCAATTCAGCAGAAGTAACTCCTGGTCATGACAACAGTGCTGATGATCCTGGCGGGACAGTATCGTCCACACAGAAAGTGGGAGCACTTGCCCTTGAATCGAAAAAGTTGTCAGATGACCGTACCCTTAGTGATGCTCAAGATAACGATGTCCATCACGTGTTGAAGGTTCTGCAAAGGGATATCTCTTCTGAATCTAGTGAGCCCGATTGGTCAGACACGGGCTTATGTCGTGCTGAAGAGCAGGAACAATTATTTTGTGACATCAAGAATCTGTCCCCTGAGTTTCTCGAAAAAGATGGACAGTATAAACCTTCTTCCTATGCTTTATTACAGCGCGTGCAAGAAGTTGCTCTGGCTGAAGGAGACACCTCCGACGGACATGCCAGTCAGGGGAGGCCGTCACTTCTGGAGGCAATCAGGAAATTGGACAGCAAGTGTGAGGTAATCTCGAGTTCGAAGGACCAGTTGGTAGGAGATGTTTTGTCAGACGGTAATGAAGCTCATCGCTGGAAGGACGCCGAGACGTGGAGGGGAAGTGAGAAGTCTTTTCAGTCGTCATTTCAAGGGCCAGAAGAAATATCAAAACCCGACATTATCAAGAATGAGTCCAGCGTAAGTTCTATCTTAGCTCCAGGGCGAGCACTATGTTCAGGTGAGGCAGGAGGAATATCGCCGGAGCCTTGTGCGAATGGCTGCAAGGATAAGGAGACTGTGGAATTCCGCAAGAAAAGTGAATCACCAAATCACACCCGAGACAGTGAGACTTCGCATGCCAATCTCTCTGGGATTTGTTCGGCCAACTCAGATAGGATCGACAAAGAAGAGGCAGAAAAATCATCATGTATTCAATTCATAACATCAGATCATGAAACAGCACGATCTCTCCAGCACAGCTCAACACCTGGAGCTCCTTGTAGAGGATCTAAAACATCGCAGGCTGACTCGACTGTCGAAACCGCATGTCGTCCTATAAAAGCTTCTGACTACTTCCAGGAATATGGCTGGGACGACGCAAAGTTGAAGAGTGTTTCAGCCCAGGCATTGAGAAGGAAAAGTGAGGAACATCAATCTGTGTATGGATCAGAGTTTCAAAACTATGCAAGGAAGAATAAGGTCATGACGGTTGAAGACGTGAATCAGATAACCGATCAGGCCAGAGTAGCGTCGAAAAGGGCATCCGAGTACTACTCCAGACTGCAGCGATTTGGCTTGAATGAGGTCGGAATGGGAATGGCGGAAGACGAACCCGTAGCACGAGATCATAAACTAGCCTCTGCTACAAATTGTGAGCACCTGCACAATAAACTTCCACAAGGACACGCATTTTATCCACTAAGAATCAACGACGACGTGGTTGTTGAGCATTCTGTGGGATTTGGGTCCACTCGTTGCAGCTCATCGAAAAGAGCTCGCGGGGTAGCAGTGCACTCCAGAGAACCGTGCCGCAGCGAAGGAGCGGTAGTAAGAGACTCTTCACAGGCTCTGGATTGTAGTGATCATAACGACAGTAGTCTGTCAACTGCGACATTTCTCGAGGTCGAGAATGCAGCAGCAAATTCTCATCCTATATTGAGCTCAGACCATTTCTCAGATTGGGATAAAGATGGAAAGAGAACTTCGAGTCATTCTCTCACCGAATCAGCACAATCTACTCCGTCGGACACATTTTTTGGCCAACTGTTGAGTTACGGACGTGGTGTGAAGAGCAGGAGAAACCCGCGTGGTACGCCAGTTTCTCGCGCCGTAAGTGAGAGCTCAGTTTTGTCTAAGTTGGCCCGTGAAGTCATGGAGAGATTTAATACTGGAACTCCTGCACCAGCTCAATCGGGAAGTTGCGACCATAGAGAGAAAGTATGTTCTCCTCCCAGTAGACAAGGAAGAAAATACTAATTTGTTCATATTTTCAAGTATTATATTCACTCATCGCACCTCGATCGAAGTACGGTGGAGCCCAGTAGACCGATAATTTTTTTGGGAATCGTATGGAGAAAGTTTTAAGGCGTTTCCCACGTAATAAATGAAACTGCTGACCCTCTCATCCCCTCCTGCCTCCCCGCAGGTGAAGGTTGTTGTCCGCATGAGACCATTTGCGGAGCATGAGAAAACGTCCCCACTGAAACAGGTAGATGGAGGTTATTCTCGCAACTCCCGAATGGAGACGATTGAATGTTTCTGTCAGAACATTCTCCGGCCCATCCAGCGGCTCTATCTGCGGAACAATAAGTGGAATGTTTGACTAACTGCACAACGCATATTCTGATCGCACGATTTTCCTGCACATTGATCGATTTTGAACAGAGAATTGTTTTAATTCCTCTTGTATTTTATACACGTTGCGTTCTGGTCTTCCAGATTTTGTGTATTCCTGAAGACAAGGTTATAGTCAAGGAAAACAACCCAGCGCTGCTCAAGCAAAGCTGCATACGAAACAAGGAATTTCGCGACGCAGAATCATTGGAGTTCAAGGTTGACAATGTTGTCGACGACAGCTACTTACAAAATCATCGATGGGACAAAAAGGCGGAATCCCAATGCCGGATGTACGAATTGATTGGTTTACCCTGTTTGGAATATGCTTTGGACGGCTACAACACAACAGTGAATTTTCAAGCTCCTCTCCTCGATAATGTGTTGGCCCTTAAAATCAATAAAAGGATGGAAACATCGAGTGATTTGTCGTGTGACGTTCATTGCGAGTTATTGCCACCCTGTGATTTCAATTCTGCACAAAAAAAGGGGTGCTAAAGTAGTAATGCTGCTGTTTCTTAAAATTGATGACGGTTGCTCTTTCAACAGTGTTAGTGTTCAGTAACGGTTCACGAGAGCCGTAAGTCCAGAACGTCTGTTCTAAACAACCACTGTAGATGTGTCCTTCACTATGTTTCACTGCTCAGGAGTTCCTCAGCGTTCCTCAGAATGCTCTTAGCGTCACATCTTGATTGGATGCCGAATGTCTGTATAGATGAAAACGTGACGGGTCCGAGCATAGGCTCATGAACGTTCTGGTCAAAGTACTAGTGCATTTTCAAATCATGGCTTAGAAATTGGAGTCTGATTACCACCGTTACTTTCTTCTGTAGATTATGGCCTACGGTCAGGCGTGTAGTGGTAAGACTTACACCATGATGGGCGACGATACTGTGGAAGGCCGTGGTATGGTGAGTTTTGAAAACATTCTTTGCATGCATGTTTTCGGGCCGATTCCTTCTACTTGGGTTGTAGAACAGTCAAGTTCTTATCATCTAGGAGATTCAACTAAACATCTGCGGATAGGATAATACACATCTTAAAGAGAATGGCAGAAGAATATGTTGGTGTTACTGCTTGCCATGATGCTCGACAGAACCATCAGTGCTAAACTCTGCTACGAGAAGAGATAAGTAAAGAGGCGTCAAAGTTTAATTTGACCCAATTTCATCTATGACGCAAGTCAGATGCCGAGATTCGCAGAGGACTTGATGCATCAAATTTCGACCGAGTTCAAAAACGAGTACTTAGTTCAGGTACAGCATACAGAGGGTTCCATAAACTTTCGCAATCCTCGTTTTCAACATCAAGTGGAGAAGATTGTCTTGTTCATTCTGCCTTATTTCGTGTTTGTTAACGTTAAATATTAGAGTTCACGACATACGCAAGGGAACTCACGGCTGTGTTCAATTTTTGCAGGTTAGCTACCTGGAGATTTATCAGGAGAGAATACGCGACCTGCTTGTTCCCTTCAAAGTGGACCCTCAAGCTGTAAGGGCGGAATGGCAGTGTTGCCTAGATAGTGGAGCGTCAAGGTGTGGGTCAGTAAAAAGTGATCGAAATTGGTTGGAATCCTCGGACGACAATGTCTACGAGGAGTCGATGGATGGCGACACTGCCAGCTATCTTAGCTTCGGTGCCGGAACACTCAAGAGCTGGAAGGATAAGCGTGCACCAAGCGTCTGGTTTGACAACCCATCTACAAAGAAGGAGTATCTGAAACTACGAGAGCACCCTGTCTCCGGTCCTTATGTCGAAGGACTGTCGTGGAAGGATGTGTATACTTGGGAAGACATGGAGCAAATCATGTTGGAGGGAGCCGCTCGCAGGACTTTAGGAGCTACCCCAACCAACAAGTGTTCGAATCGTGGCCACACTTTGTTTACTATGAGGATTGTTAAGGCATGGTTCATGACCCCAGTTTCACAGATAAACTGCACCAACGAATATAGGGAATCACTCATTTCAAAAACTTTAAACGTAACTGTAGATTATAGGCATCTTATCATATGCCAGTTTCGATTTTCAGACCGGAACTCAGAGTTGTTGACAAAACTTGTTGAAATAAGCAACAAGTTTGTAGTTGTGCAACTTTCCAAGTACAAGGTTTCAGTTTCATTAGCCTGGAAGTTTTCAGAGTACCTCATTTTGCTTCATTGCCTCACCTTCTTTTCAGAACCGACTGAAATTCTGGTCACGTTGAGCTGCGCAGGAACAGCGAGGGAGGAGCCCACATGTGAGCTTCGTTAACCTCGTAGACCTCGCAGGTACCATCGTGATCCAATAAGATGCCCAACTTTGCACCATTCTATACCATACGTCTAAAGTGTCCCTGTAGCACACGACAGCTCGCCGAAAACCTAATAGCACTTCTTTCTGGAACGAGGCGCGATGTTTCGCGCCTCGTTCATGAAAGAAGTGCTATCGCTTCATGAATTACGCAAATTTTGTGCATCTTTAATCGAAGATTATGCATGCGTGACACCAGGAACTGAAAAGCCGAAGCTTGCCAAGAGAATATCGTTGGAGAGGCTAGAGGAATCCCGCTATATCAACAGATCTGTAGCTCACCTAAACGATGTGAGTTCAAAGAAAACGTTGTATTTTTTCCCTGATTGACTGAATTGTCCACCTGACGCTCACAGGGTGTTCGTTCTCACAATAATCTGATGGCAACTTCAGACCTGTTGATTGATCACTAGACGTTCACGTGTCTTTGATAATCTGACAGAGCAAGGAAATCTCATCTTTAGAATAAAGTCACCTCCTTTCGGCTACATCAGTCAAGGGACCAGCCTCCTGTTCGGAAATAGTGACAGCTTGACATGTCATATGATGGATGTCTAGAGCAGGTGATCCTGAATCTATCCAAGAATTCCAAGTTCGTGTCATATCGCAGCTCTGCTCTTACTTGGCTCCTGAGAGACTCTCTGGGAGGAACCGCCAAGACTTTTCTGATAGCCCATCTTTCTCCCGCAGAACAGGTAACCATTAAGACATGTACTACCACTTCTTTTGGGAGTTTTGATGCTGACATTCTGAAAGTTTTCCACCACCTGACGTAGCATCTGAGGATGCTCACCATGCCTCTGGTGATAACGACCACTAAACATATACCTTAGTAGTCATTGTAGCAGAGAAAACTGGATGCATTGGAAGGTTCAGTTTACCTGGACAACCCATGTTGTATTGCAGGACTTTCAAGAGAGTGTGAACACTCTACGATATGCTGCCAAAGCAAATCACATCCAGAGTTCTATAATCTCCCATCCAGAGAAGAAGAAGCAGCTCTTCGTGAACATGAAGAAGGAAGCAAAAATTTTACAGGATTTAATTCAAAATCTGACCGGGACTGAAGAAGATAAGCGGCGTAAAGAAGAGTTGATACAGCTGGGATCCTGCTTGCCAGTTCTATCTTCTTTCAAAGTACCACGAGTTGAAATGCCAGTAAATTCGGGTCATTGGATGTAGATATGAAACGGCCAGATGATAATCAGCTGAGCCGTGCCAGGATTAGATGTAGGAAGGAGCTCCGATAGAGAAGATTACCCACATGATAATCAGCGCTAGGAGAGTCCGAAATCTTCGCACAATTTTACATCCTTGAAAATTTTGTAAAAAATCTCCATTGTAGCTGTCAGCGAATTTTGTCGACGACGAGAAATCGAAGTCACCAATAAAATTTTTACATGACCCGTGAAGTAATGGAACCGTGCACCCATAGACATTGGCATCACGTCCCGCCTGATCATTTCTCACCATGACTTTTCATCCCGCCTGATCATTTCTCACCATGACTTTTCATCCCGCCTGATCATTTCTCTCCATGACTTTTCATCGAAAGGATTTTCAACATTCTCCTTCGAGAAACAAACCAGTGAACATCGGAGTTATTCACTGGACATTTATCCAGTAGCAGCATCAGAAGTACTGCAAGACCCACAAAATTCAAAGCTTGAATCTGAAGTCCAGCAACGTGGACGTTGCTGGACGTTCTCGAAACGGACTTTTTTCAAAGTCCGTTTCGAGAAATTGATGCCTATAAAACATTTTAAGCAATTCCAACTGATGTTTTTGAAAACATCCGTTAACGGATTTTTGTTCTGTCGAAACGGATTGCAATAAAAGCTTGACTTTTTGCTGGAATCCTCTGTCCAAGAGATGCGCATTCGACTCCTGTACGACAGCCTTCGAAAGGAATTATCGAACTCGGGCTAAGAAATAGCACAGTTTCTTTCCAGCTCGCTCATGTACTTCTCTAAACCTTGATCTCACCTTTGTGAATGCATCGATTGTGAATGATCCAGTCTTTTCCCATTGATTATGATACTCGAGTCTCGATTTCCGTCATCTCTTCCATGCTCTAATCGGAGAAGAATTCTGTTGAAGGGAAGAATTCTGGTTTGCATGCTCTAATGGGAGTGAATTATGCTTCCCATGCTCGAGGGGAGCCTATCTGGGTGCGCAATGTCTGGCATTGCGCACCCAGACATATAACGAAATGAAAGGGCCGAGTGCTGGCCCTTTTCAATCATGAAAAGCAAGCAGAGGCGGCAGCGGGGCCCTCCTCCGAGTTGGGCTGGCTGGTGCTCCTGCCCTGGGGCCCGTCAGCTCCCGCTTCCCACACCCGCCTCGGGCCCAGACCGAATGCTCTCCGTCACGTGTGCCCTCGACTCTGCCTTCGCTCCGCTCCTGCAGTAAGCTCTGGGGTGGCATGGATGCGGAGTGTGCGCAGCGTTGGTTGCTGCTGCGGATGTTGCTGCGCTGCAGTGCGCAACAGAGCACATCGTGTAGTCGGGATTTGTGAATTATACGTTTTATCCATTTTCTCCTCCGTCAGGAGTCGGCTGGGCTCTCCCACGGAAACCAGATTTTCCATGGGCGGGCGAATAATATTTCTTTGCTCGAGAATGGCCCCTCATTCCATACACGAATGGAATGAGGTTGCAACTCCGGGGACCCAACTCAGGACAGAATACTTATGGTATGTTGATAGCAAACCATCTTCTTATTACTCGGGTCCCTGCTACCAGAGAGTGGCCCCTGGAGGTTAACCTGCTATATGATGGTTGAGAGTTTGAGTGCAGAATTATGTAGTATGGAAGCAGTGGGAGTCAAGCCATAGAACGATCTGGCCCGCTGTTTAGAGTCGGACCTCAGAACTTTGTGGTTTGCTATCAACAGCGAGAGCTATCCTGTAGACCTTCTCCACACACACAGTACATCACTCAACTCTTCTTATTCCTAGGGGCTCCCTGCTACCAGTGAGTGGCCTGTGGAGGTTAACCTGTTGAGATCTTGAGTACAGAACGGCGTAGTATGGAAGCAGTAGGAGTCAAGCCGTTAGAAGATTATATAGAAAACTTTCTCTCTTGAGCTTATGCCACTTCAGAGTCAAGTGGAAATCCTAGTTTACAAGAGTGATGATGTACCCCATTTTTGTCCCGCGCGAGTTTCTGTAAAGAATTTGCGGCATATCTAGACCGAGGGGGACTGGTGCACATTGCTAATTCTAAATGTAAATATTGCACAAATATTAATTTCTAAAGTGATCAGAGCATTTTTTCCGTTGGAGAGAAGTTCACCTGTTCAGTTTCCTCCTTATGCTCTTTTTCCCATTTTACTTTCATTTCAATTTGCCAGTTTCGGTACCCGACTTGCAAACCTGAATGTTTCTGACCACATAAGTTATTATATTCTAGAGAGTTGGAAGAGTCCGTCACTGTGAAGATCCAGAAGCAACCGTCGGGTTCTTACGGTTGATGTGACTGATGAGATAGCGTGACTTACTTCTTCTAAAGTGGATTTTGACTGTTGTGAGTGAGGCATAAAGTTAGCCAGACGTAGATATTCTTATATGTGGGATCTGCACATCACTCTCATCACATTTCCAAGAGTCGACACAAAGGTATCTTGGGGTTATGCCAATTTAGAGGCAAGTGGTAATCCTAGTAATCTTATAATAATGATAGTGATCTGCTTGAATCTGCCATTGTAACAACACAGCTTGCATCTGCCATAGTCTTCCGCTTAGGCGACCTCCACCATTTGAGAAGAGACAGAAGGACGATGTGCAGAATCGCTCTAAAAAAATGTAATCGTCTAACTTTTGCGTTCTAGTCGAAACTAAGTATTGACTGTAAGTGCTTTCGACTAGCACGATGCAGGTCACAATGGCAGATGCAAGCTGGAGAGAAAGTGAATCACAACAGCTCACTCGCTTCATTCATAGCTCAGGCAATTCGGGCCTCAAGGTTGCTAGGTACTTGGAAAACTTATCCCAGTACATGAACTGCCGAAGATTGTTATTGCGGATAGGAGTCTGGGATCGTCACACTCGCTGGTTGCTGTCACCCGATCCCTCTTGAGGATGTGTTTCTCGAAAACTCTATTCCACACATGAATTGTAGATATATACGAGTCTTCGAAGAATTTGGAGGCTTGGTTACAAAGTCTCCATCTACCTTTTTTATCAAAGAGCTTGTATGTGGGTTAGGTCTGTGTTCTATATAGTAGTTAATAGAGACATACATCTAGATGGAGCCATCTTTTTCCTCCAAATCAATAGAGTATATTTTTAACGAAAAAAGATGTTGCGAGGAAAACACGTCGAGGTCACATATCTTACATGACCTATTGGAGTCAATAGCAAATCTCAAATACTTTATCACCTTCACATATTTTATGTGTTATCATTGATAACACATCAAGCATTGGAGTTTGATTGTGTCACTCGTGAGCAATCATATGCATTTAGGAAAAGTACACAGAGTTAGGACAAATGTATTGGATTTGTATCTTGTCACGCTTCCTCTTAGACTAGATGGAGGTTTTTATGTTACTAAAAGTTCGATGAAGAAAACATATTATTTATATATATATATATAATTTATATTTATTATATAAATTATGGTATATTATGATTAATAAAGCATTGATTTGCTATAAAAAAATTTATTTTTCAAATGTTAGTAACTAAACATTGAGAGTGAATTTCCAAATCATATTCATTGAGGTGAGATAGATAATGAAAGTATAACGAGAGCATAAAAAAATATAAATAATTGCATGTTAGAGATATTTTTCATAATAAATTCAATTTTACTGAGAAACGTCAGACTACTCATGACTTCGACCACGTACTGGACCGTACGGACTGTGCTATTGCACAATTGCCCTGAAAAGAGTCACAGTCGAGGCCGACGTGGTTTGTCGCTGTCGACAGATTTGGCTTTTTAAGGCCGACAAAGAGTATTGGATGTATTGGAAGGTTCAGGTTACATGGACAACACATGTTGCATTGCAGGACTTTCAATAGAGTGTGAACACTCTACGATATGCTGCCAAAGCAAATCACATCCAGAGTTCTATAATCTCCCATCCAGAGAAGAAGAAGCAGCTCTTCGTGAACATGAAGAAGGAAGCAAAAATTTTACAGGATTTAATTCAAAATCTGACCGGGACTGAAGAAGATAAGCGGCGTGAAGAAGAGCTAATACAGCTGGGATCCTGCTTGCCAGTTCCATCTTCTTTCAGAGTACCACGAGTTGAAATGCCAATAAATTCGGGTCATTGGATGTAGATTTGAAAGGGCCAGATGATAAGCAGCTGGAACGTGCCAGGAAGTAGATGTATGAAGGAGATCCGAGACAGAAGAAGATTACCCACATGATAATCAGCGCTAGGAGAGTCCGAAATCTTCGCACAATTTTACATCCTTGAAAGTTTTGTAAAAAATCTCCATTGTAGCTGTCAACGAATTTTGTCGACGACGAGAAATCGAAGTCACCAATAAAATACTTACATGACCCGTGAAGTAACGGAACCGTCCATCCATAGACATTGGCATCAGGTCCCCGCCTGATACTTTCTCGCCATGACTTTTGATCGAGAGGATTTTCAACAATCTCCTTCTAGAAACAAACCAGTGAACATGGTAGTCATTTACTGGACATTTATCCAGTAGCAGCATCAGAAGTACTGCAAGACCCAGAAAATTCAACGCTTGAATCTGAAGTCCAGCAACGTGAGTGAGGATTTCAAACCAGCAGAATATGCTGCCCTCACAGAGAATGCACGATCCTTTCCCAAACATCAGATCCGATTCGTCTTGTGAAATTCAGAACTCTACAAGCTACTAATCGGTGCACAGAGCACACCCAGAAAACATTGACACCGCCGTCGGAGCTCTGTTTCTTTGAGATTCCGCTTTTCCGCAATTCTGGCTTGGACCGAAGAATCCGAAGACAGAAGAACCTTCACCACCGAGAAAGCATGGAAAGGTTTCTGGTTTCTGGTACTGGTGTCTTTATTGAGACGACCCCAGCATGTGCTGCGGCCGTTGTGCCATGGCTGTGAATATGCACCAGATACCAGACAGATAGCAACCACCTTCCTTGTCCCTTCAACTGTCGCCCAACCGTGTGAATATGCCGTCCTGCATATTCATACGCTTTCGGGTCATGGGCTTGAATAGAGCTGTCTGTAGCCCTGCAATGTTATTGAGTTGAGTTGAACTCACTTGACTTTACTCGCTCGGCTTTCTTATCACTTACGTCTCCCCTTCAACCTTCTCTGGTGCACCTTCCACCTGCGACCATAGGACACTGATGAGATGGATGGAATGGAATGTCGAGTACACTTTCCTTTCAACAAGAGCAGCACCGAAAAGCGTGTGAGCACTTGAATTATGTGCTCTACTAACTTCCGCTACAGCTCCTTATGCAAATG